CACAAATTAACATCACCAACAACAAAAACTAAATTACCAAGAGATAGCAATCACTGGTCATTAATATCCTTTAATATAAATGGACTCAATCACCTATAAAAAGACACAGGCTAACAGACTGGATACAAAAACAGAATCCATCCTTCTGCATACAAGAAACACACCTCAACCTCAAAGACAGACATCATTTCAGAGTAAAAGGTTGGGAAAAAATATTCCAATCAAATGAACGATAAGGAACAAGCTGGTGTAGCTATCCTAATATCTAACAAAATAGACTTCAAATTAAACTCAATCAAATGAGATAAAGAAGGACATTTCATATTAGTCACAGGAAAACTTCATCAAGAGGAAATCTCAATACTGAACATCTATGCCCCAAATACAAGGACACCCTCATGTAAAAGAAACACTTCTAAAGCTTAAATCATACATTAAACCCCACATACTAATAGTGGGAAACTTCAACACTCCACTCTCACCACTGGACAACTCAGTCAGACAAAAAATGAACAGAGAAATAAGGGAACTAACAGATGTTATGACTCAGATGGACTTAACAGACATATAGAATATTCCATCCAAACATAAAAGAATATGCCTTCTTCCGAGCACCTCATGGAACATTATCAAAAATTGACCACACACTCAGTAACAAAACAAACCTGAACAAATACAAAAAATTGGAATAACCCCATGTATCTTATCAGATCACCATGGTTTAAAACTAGAATTCAATAGCAATACTAATAACAAAAAGCCCAGAAACAAATGGAAATTAAACAATGCTCACCTGAATCATCAATGGGTCAAGAAAGAAATAAAGGGAGAAATTAAAGACTTCTTAAAATTCAATGAAAATGACCACACAACATATCCAAATTTATGGAACACAATGAAAGGAGTGTTCATAGCGCTAAATGCCTACAGAAAGAAGCTGGAAAAATCCCACACTAGTGAATTAACAGAACATTTGAAAACTTTAGAACAAAAAGAAGCAAACTCACAAAAGAGAACTAGACAAAAGGAAATAATCATATTGAGAGCTGAAATCAACAAAATAGAAACAAAGAAAACAATACAAAGAATCAATGAGACAAAGAGTTGGTTCTTTGAGAAAATCAACAAATTAGACAAACCTTTATCCAAACTAACCAAAAGGCAGAGAGAGAGAATATCCAAATAAACAAAATCAAAAATGAAAAGGGACACATAACAACAGACACAGGAAAAACAGAGAATCATCAGGTCATATTTTGAAAACCTGTACTCCACAAAATTGGAAAACTTAAAGGAAATGGACAACTTTCTGGATAAATATCACTTACCAAAATTAAATCAAGACCTGATAAGCAAATTAAACAGACTCATAACTGCTGAAGAAATAGCAACAGTCATCAAAAGTCTCCCAATCAACAAAAGCCCAGGACCAGATGGTTTTAGCTCTGAATTCTACAAGATTTTCAAAGAAAAACTAATACCAATACTCCTCAAATTGTTCTATACAATAGAAACAGAAGGAATATTGCCAACTCTTTTTTATGAGGCTACAATTACCCTGATACCCAAACCAAAGAAAGCCATTACTAAGAAAGAGAATTACAGACCAATCTCACTCATGAACAATGATGCAAAAATCCCAAATAAAATACTGGCAAATCGAATACAAGAACACATCAGAACCATCATCCACCATGATCAAGTTGGCTTTATCCCAGAGATGCAGGGATGGTTCAACATACGAAAATCTGTCAACGTAATACACCATATAAACAAACTCAAAAATAAAAACCACATGATCATCTCATTAGATACAGAAAAAGCTTTCGACAAAATACAACATCCCTTCATGATAAAGGTCTTGGAGAGAGCAGAGATACAAGGAACATACCTAAACATAGTAAAGGCAATATACAGCAAGTCAATAGCCAACATCAAACTAAATGGTGAGAAAGTCACAAAGATCCCACTGAAATCAGGAACAAGACAAGGTTGTCCACTCTCTCCATATCTATTCAATATAATTCTTGAGGTCCTAGCTAGAGCAATAAGACAACAAAAGGAGATCAAGGGGATAAAATTGGAAAAGAAGTCAAACTCTGTTTGCTGATGATGATAGTTTACGTAAGCGACCCCAAAAATTCTACCAAGGAACTTCTTCAACTTATAAACACTTTCAGTACTGTAGCAGAATACAAGATTAACTTAAAAAAAAAATCAGTAGCCCTCCTTTACACAGATGATAAAAGCGCTGGGAAAGAAATCAGAGAAACATAATATTACCCTTCACAATAGCCACAAATAGCATAAACTATCTCGGGGTAACTCTAACCAAACAAGTAGAAGACTTGTATGAAAAGAATTTAAAATCTTTGTAGAAAGAAATTGAAGACACCAGAAAGTAGAAAGATCTCCCATGCTCTTCAGTAGGTAGAATTAACATAGTAAAAATGGCAATCTTACCAAAAGCAATCTACAGATTCAAAGCAATGCCCATCAAAATCTCAGCAAAATTCTTCACAGATCTCAAAAAAAAAAAAAAAATGGTACTCAACTTCATTTGGACATTTGGAAAAGCAAAAAACCCAGGATAGCCAAAACAATCCTATGCAATCAAAGAACTTCTGGAGGCATCACAACTCCCAAACCCTACTACAGAGCTACAGTAATGAACTGAAAACAGTCTGATACTGGCATAAAAACAGGCAGGAGGACAAATGGAACCAAATCGAAGACCTGGATATTAATCCACACACCTTTGAACACCTGATTTTTGACAAAGAAGCAAAAAAAAAACAATATCAAATGGAAAAAAGAAAGCATATTTAACAAATGGTGCTGGCATAACTGGATATCAACAAGCAGAAGAATAAAAATAGACCCATATATATCACCATGCACAAAACTCAAGTCCAGTGGATCAAAGACTTCAACATAAAGCCAGCCACACTGAACCTTATAGAAGACAAAGTGGGAGGTACACTTAAACACATTGGCACAGGAGACCACTTCCTAAATAGAATCCCAGCAGCAGACATTGAGAGAAACAGTTAATAAATGGGACCTCCTGAAACTGAAAAGCTTCTGTAAAGCAAAGGACATGGTCAACAAAACAAAATAGCCTACAGAATGGGAAAAGATCTACACTAACCCCACATCAGACAGAGGTCTGATCTCCAAAACATACAAAGAACTCAAGAAATTGGACACCAAAAGATCACATAATCCAATAAAAAAAAAAAAGAATACAGACCTAAACAGAGAACTCTCAACAGAGGAATCTAAAATGGCTGAAAGACACTTAAGGAAATGTTCAACATCCTTAGTCATCAGAGAAAGGCAAATCAAAACAACTCTGAGATTCCATCTTACACCTGTAAGAATGGTCAAGATCAAAAACACTGATGACAACTTATGCTGGAGAGGTTGTGGGGAAAAGGGAACACTTCTGCATTGCTGGTGGGAATGCAAGCTGGTACAGCCCCTTTGGATGTCAGTGTGGCGATTTCTCAGAAAATTAGGAAACAACCTTCCTCAAGACCCAGTAATACCACCTTTGGGTATATATCCAAAGGATGCTCAACCATGTTCATAGCAACTTTGTTTGTCATAGCCAGAACCTGGAAACAACCTAAATGCCCTTCCACTGAAGAATAGATAACAAAAATCTGATACATAAACACAATGGAGTACCACACAACAGAAAAAAATAATGACATCTTGAATTTCGCAGGAAAAATGGATGGAGCTAGAAAACATCTTTTGAATGATGTAACCCAGACCCTGGAAGATAATTATCATATGTACTCACTCATAAGTGGTTTTTAAACATAAGCAAACAACAACAACAACAACCAGCCCACAAATCACAATCCTACAGAACCTAGGCAACAACGAGGACCCTAAGAGAGACATACATGGATCTAATCTACATGGGAAGTAGAAAAAGACAAGATCTCCTGAGTAAATTGGGAGCATGGGGACCATGGGAGAGGGTTGAAGAGGGAGGGGAGAGGAAGGAAGGGGAACAGAGAAAAATGTAGAGCTCAATAAAAAAAAAAAAATAAAAAAAAATAGCTGAACAGCCAATAACTAGGCAGAGGATAGGTGGGACTTCCGGGGACAGAGGAACTCTGGGAAGAAGGTAGAATCCAGCTAGATATTGAGAAAGTACTGAGGAGAGGGACAAGTCATGTGGCAGAATGCAGATTAATATAAATGGGTTAACATAAATTTTCAGAGCTAGTTGGGAAAAAGCATGAGCCAAGACAAAACATTCATAATTAATAAGTCGCCATGTCATTATTTGGGAGCTGATGATTCACAGAAAGTCCAACTACAGTTCCGTCATATAAAAGAAAATATTAGAACTGGACTGGAAAATTAGCTCGGCTGGTAAAGGCACTCACCATTTTAAAGCCTGACGAACTGAGTTCCATTTCTGGAACCCATGTGTGAAGAGAACTGACTCTACAACTGTTCTCTTACCTCCTGGAGAGTGCAGTGTGCCGTGTTGTACATCCTCCCTCTCCCCCTCCCTCTTCTCCTCCCTCTCTCTCTCTCTCACACACACACACCCGCACACACAAATACACACAAATTCTTTTTAAAAAACGTCAATCAATTTTGGATGGAGAGAAACAAAGGCTATTTTAACTCATAGGAAGGGTAGAAGAGATGACCCTGTGGTTAAGAGCACTTACTACTTTTGCAGAGGACCTAGGTTCAAATCGTAACACCCATAACTAATACGCTCACAAAAATCTATAAATCCAGATCCAGGGGATTCAATGTACTCTTTCTGGCCTCTGTGGGCATCAGGCATACACATATTATACAGACACACCTGCCAGCAAAATATCCATGTACATTAAAAAAATAAAATTTTAACTTAACTCACTAGAACAGAGACATTGATAGATTATTAAGTGAAAACAACGAGTCAAATGATTTCATAAAGTTCATGGGAGAAATGACATTACAGGAACGTCTTCACTTACGGTTCCGTATGTAACAGCCAGCAACTGATGACTTTGCTAGGAGCTCCATTCCCAAGTCCTGCAATCTACCAGAGTTTTCGGGTCCACAGGTAGCCAGAGCTGCCTGGTCAGCACAAAACAGGTTTGCCTGTATGTCTCCAGAAGCAATTCCAGTGCCTTTTATCTCAGAGAGTGTTGTTTTCACATCGGTCTTCATACACCGAACTTCAGCCATTTGAGTTTTGAGTCTTTTGAGCATCTTTAAGTCAGAGGGCACTCGCCACATCGCCTGCTGCTTCCTTTGATCTTTGTCTTTTCGAGAATATGATGCTTCGAAAGAAAACAAGTGAAAAACCACGTTCATATAAATTTAAACATTTATGACCTCATTCTTTCCCACAAATTTAAAGTGTCAAATGCGGTAAGGTGCTTCATTGTTATCAGCAAAGAACATGCATCAAGACTAGAGAGACAGCTGGTATCAGTGGTTCTCAACCTTCCTAATGTTGTGATCCTTTAATATAGTTTCTCATGGTGTGGTGACCCCCGACCATAAAATCATTTCATTGCTACTTTGTAACTGTAGTTCTGCTGCTGTTATAAATTTTAATGTAAATATCTGATATGTAGAGTATCTGATACGCAGCCTCCAAAGGGGTTACAACCCACAGGTTGGGAATCACTGACTTAGTGGATAAAGGCACTTGTTGCCAAGCCGAATAATCTGAGGCCTAAACCTAGGATTCTACTACATGGTGGAAGGAGAGAACAGAGTCTTGCAAATTGTCCTCTAACCTTCACACATACACCACGACACATACATACTCATGTACACAATACATACCTATACAAATAGATGAAATAAAAAAATTAGAGCGTGCATTAAATTCTACCACAGAAAACACAGGTCCAACTATCTTAACCTTATTCCAACTTTAAAGCTTCAAGTTAAGAGTCTGGGTCACAATCACTTCACTGAATTATATCCAAATTCTAAAGTTTAGAGGTTGTTCTGCCTTATGTTTTATTTGTCTTGTATTATGTTTTAAATGCTTTTCTACTTTTCTCAGTTTCTTTCTAAACTTCTTATGGTCACAATCTAAAAAAACGAAAAAGAAAAACCTAGAAGTCAAACATGTTATCAACTCAGCTATACATATTCTTCTATGTAGACATATAATTCCAGATGGAACAATGCCCAAGCTACACAATGCCCATCAGCAGCCCTGTCTCCATCCTCATAGTTGATTCTGAAATCTCTGCGGCTACAGGAAGAAAAAATATGCTACTAAGAGCCTGTCTCCAAGCCTGCAAACAGATCCCTCAGGTGATCAGATACCAGAGAATGAGAGACACCGTCTGACACTCCCGATGAAGCTTATATATGTAAGGCTACTAGGTTCCTGGGTGACATCAGAGAACTACCAGTGACAGAGATCCACCTGTGTAACAGGTATACTTCAACTAGATATCCTTCCCCCTCATTCATTCCTCCACATCCTTCAAGGACCACATTCCTTCCCAGAATTCCCTCTCCCACCTCATCAGAAACAGCCTGGCTGCACACTCCTGCTGTGAAAGCTTTCTTTTTCCTGAAATCTGTTAGAAGGGACCCACACACACCTCTTGGGCCTAAAGTCCCCTCAGAGTGCTCCGCCATGCTGCTATCTTTCAATGACATTAATAACTCTTCTGATAAATTTCTTATTCCCCCCCCCCCAAAAAAATGTTCCTCAGTGTCCCCTGGAACCCCAAACCTGTGTGTGATTTTTCAGTTCCTAATCATCTATTGGTCCCAAGATGTCAGAATGTTTTCTAAAGACCAAAGTAGGTATTACTTTATGCTCAGAATAGCCACATGGGAAGTACTGGATTGCACACAACAAGCTCTACACTACCAGATTCTACCAATAGCTTTAGTCTCAACTTCTATTAGACACACACACACCCCAGTTTCTTGGAGTCACACTTAGGTGAAGACTTCCAGAACAGATATAGCCCACAGTTCTAAGGTTAATTAGAAGTGACTTCAATCTGTATTAATTCTTTTACAGTGTTTCCTTACAGTTTTGGGGAATAAGAGTCCCCAATATACCTTCTGGAGTCATGATAAACTCTAGCTAGCCAGGTAGCTGCAGAAAACCCATTTCTATCCTCACCTCCAAAGACTAAAATTACAGGCAGGCTGCCACATCCACCCGACAGTAACATGTTCTAAGGAAGCAAATTTTGGTCCTCACACTTGTTGCCTGAGCATCTAATTACCTACTGGACCACTTCCTTAGCTCTTAGAACTTTTTAATGCCAAAAAAAAAAAAAAAAAAAACCTGAGTTTATCCCACTCTATATACCTTAAGCATATGTCTTAAAAATTGCCAGTTTACTCTCTCATACCAGAAATGAAATCCCTAGACTAAGTATCCTGTCAAAAACTTTCATTTATCTGTTTAATCAGTACTGGTCATTTTCTAAAGTAAGGTTTAAATCAAACCACTACTAAAATCAAACTTCTCTTTCTCTATCCTCTACTATGATTAAATTCAAGCTAGCATTCAAGAACTTCCACAGGATGAACCAATGTGGTTACTTCATTTTATTTAGCTCTAGATACCTTAAAGTATCTACCTTTATCCCCTGCTATCACTTATGACATCCCCTGGGAACAGCAATTAAGAGCACGAACAGGCAATGAATTTAACATATAACAGATGTCCATTAACTTTATGATTAAAATATGAATATACCGAGAAATGAAATTAACAAACTCCACACAAGTCTTTTTAATAATAAAAAAAAAACAAGGTTCTTTCTGCAACTTTATTAACTTTATAAACACCGCCCCCAGACACACACACACACACACACACACACACACACACACACACACACACAGGGTTATTTTGACTTGGCTCCTGATATTGTTTGATTGGTTCTTTTCTTTTTTCTTTTTCTTTTTTTTCTTTTTTTGGTTTTTCAAGACAGGGTTTCCCTATGTAACAGTCCTAGCTGTCCTGGAACTAACTCTTGTAGACCAAGCTGGCCTCAAACTCACGGGAATTAGCCTGTCTCTGCCTCCTGAATGCTGGGATTAAAGGCGCGCACCACCACTGCCCAGCCCATTTGGCTCATTTTTTTAACAGAATATAACTATCTATATTCTAGCTATGTGGCAGGCTCTTAGCCTTGGTAACCTACTCCAAAGTTAGATCCAGGACTTAGCTGTTCCCTTTTATTATCTGCCCCACATCCTTCTTGCTATTACCCTTATTTTAGTCAACTGGATTTAAAACTTAGGTTGCCTCACTATTAATTTTACATAGAAAACCAAACATTCCAGAACAAGACTATTTCTGTTAAAATAGTCTGTATGCACTCCAATGACATTCAATATTTTTAAAAACATGATTTCACCTATTTATTAAATCTATTCGTAAATCAAATTGTGAAATTGTTCCTCTTAAAGCTAAGTCAATTATACATGTTTATTATAGAGCCGGACTTGACCTGCTTCATTTGGACTTTGCACATACCACCAACTATCATTCAAGTCAACAGTTTTCAACCTGTGAATTGCAACCCTCCTGGCAGTCGCATATCAGATACCCTGCAGGTCAGACATTCACAATATGAGTCATAAGAGAGGCAAAATTATAGTTATGAAGCAGCAACAAAAATAATTTTATAGTTGGGGTCATCACACCATGAGGAACTATATTAAAGGGTTGCAGCATTAGGAAGGTTAAGAACCACTGGTTTAAGTGAACCTTCACATATAATGTACTCAAACCATAAATGAAGAGCAACTGTTCCAGAACCTAGCTGAAGATAGTCTTTCAAACGGAGGGGTAAGATTTTCTGAAGTATGCTATAAAAAAAAGGAAATGGTTCAGGCTGTAACCTCCAAACCGCTGCAGTGGCTCAGGCTTTGTTTTCTACACAGAGGTTCTATGATTTTTGTTCAGAAAGTGAACTCTGCTGCTTTGAGAAATCACCAAAATCCCTGACTACATCATGGTCGGATATAATACCACAATTTAGAAAGGTAAGGGAAATGTCAATCTGTTTTACTACATACCAAGGACGTAGTGGAAAGCACTCCAACAAAAATGCTGCTTCTCCAACCCCAGGAATAGGAAGCTGGGGGACGGAACCAGGGGCCTTGCACACACTAGGCAAGCACATTACTACCGAGTAATACCAAAGGCCACTAAAACTGGTCTTTAAACTGTAATAGCATTAATGGTAAATCACTATCTGTTAAAAAAAAAAAATCTCGCCAGGTGGTGGCAGCGGCACACGCCTTTAATCCCAGCACTCGGGAGGCAGAGGCAGGCAGATCTCCATGAGTTCAAGGCCAGCCTGGTCTACAAGAGCTAGCACCAGGACAGGCTCCAAAGCAACACAGAAAAACCCTGTCTCGAAAAACCAAAAAACCAAACAAAACAAAAACCAACTCTATCTCTGATTCAAAGAGCCTAGACTGAACTATACAAATGGCTGTCTTACTACAATAATGCATAATTTTCTCTTAAATAACTTTGGTATAAAATACTGTGGATAATAATATACATTTTATAGTAGTATATTACTTGTGTTTTAATAGATAAAACTTGCATGAAGATCACAGAGCAAAGCAGCCATACAGGCGAGGCAGTGGTGGTAGGCACTTTAAATCCCAGGAAGACAGAGGTAGATGGATCTCTGTTAGTTCAAGGCCACCCTGAGCTACACAAGATTGAGTATCTAAAATAGAAAAAGAGCTCACACAAAGGTGATCCCAGCACTAGGGAGGTGGAGACAAGGAGGAATATGGCTGGGCAGAAAGAATATAAGGGGGAAAAGACAGGAACTCAGTGGTGTGTCGAGTCTTCAGGATTCGTAGAGACAGGATCTCCTTCATTTTTGGTCCGAGGAAGAGGTAAGAGCCAGTGGCTGGCTGCTTTGCTTTTCTGATATTTAGGTTGAACTCCAAAATCTGTCTCTGGGTTTTATTATTCAGGTTACAACATTTTCTCAGGTTTTGATGTTCATTTGTGTGCATAAGTGTGTGTGAGACAGGGTCTTACACTAGGTATCTTATGGTTGGTCCAGAACTCATTATGTAGAACAGGCTAGCTTTGAACTCATAGAGATCCACCTGATCTGCCTCACAACTGATGGAATAAAAGATACATGTTATCATGACCAGCCTTGTTTGATTTCTTGAAACAGGTAACACAATATAGTCCAGGCTAGACTTGAACTCACTATGGTAGCCTAGGTTAACCTTAAACTCAGAACAATCCTCATGACTCGCTCTTTACCATCCTTATATCAGGTATGTGCCACCATGGCAGAGATAAGCATTTTTCCTTTAATGAATAATTAAGTATTTTTCTATTTAGACACATTTCCCCTTGAAAGGTAGGCCTGAAAAACTAAATCCATTCACAAAGAAGACAACTGTACTTCTTCCTATGGCTCACACTAGCAGTTAGGCACAAAGAGAAGGTAAACATTTAGAACTTTCTTTGTTTTTCTTTCCAGTGTTAGGGATCAATTACAAGGATTTGTGTGTGCTGGGTCATTATTATCTTCTGAGCTACACACCCTAGCCCCAAAACCTTTTCAAAGGTTTGTTTTTGACACGACTCTTGAGCAACAGGGAGAATGCGGGAAAGTGCTGTAGGTCCAGTCCACCCAGGACAACAGGATTCTGAGTTCAATCCCGAACACACACACACAGGGGTCGAGGGTGGGGTGGGGAGTAGACAGGTTAAAAAAAAAAATCACTCATATGACATGAATGAAAAATCATTTTACTAGAGAAACATACTATGTTCCAATACTCAGATGAGACACACAGAAATTCAATAGCTCTTCCAGAGAACCAAAGGGAAAAAAAAAAATATTATTTTACCTGTGGGTTGCAAAAGTGAAGTAGATGGACGAGGCTGTAAGCCCCACAGATTTTCCATACTGCTCCGGTCCTTAAGATCCAATAAATGTATTAAGATTAAAGGATCAATGTCTAATAAGCTACTGGTAGCGGCAGAGCATAAATGTGCTCTTCTTGACATTCTGCTACTGGCACCCACATAGCTGTGGCTATTACCTACAAAAGAAATAGAGAAAACATACTGTATATATCTGTACATGCTTTATTTTTTTTAAAAAAAAAATCCCAATTAGTGTATGAATACCTGTCTGCAGATCTGTGTCTTAGATTATATTCATAATGAAAAGTACAGAGGAACCATACTGCCCAGTAATAAACATCAAAACAATGATTAAGCATGGGGTTTGTTACTATCCATAATTCAAGAATAATCACCAACCTCATCTCAAGCACCATACAATTATAAATGTGTACAAGATACACAACTTGGGGTGCTGGAGAGATGGCTCAGAGGTTAAGAACATCGACTGCTCTTCCAGGGGTCCTGAGTTCAATTCCCAGCAACCACATGGTGGCTCACAATTACTTATAATCAGATCTGGTGCCCTCTTCTGGCCTGCAGGCGTATATGCAGGCAGAACACTGTATACTTAATATGTAAATAAATCTTATTAAAAAAAAAAAAAGATACATGACTCAGTGCAGGCCAGGGTCAAGACAAGAAAAAGTTTTCATTCCCATCAGAGAGTAAAAGGGTTCCCATCTTTTCATATACTTAACATTTAGTACTGCCAGGTTTAAAATATTAACCATACTAGGTGTATGTTAATTACATACTAGGTGTATGTTAATTACACACGCCTGTAATCCTAGCACTTGAGAGGTGGAGGTTAAAGGATTAGGAATTCAAAGCCATCTTTGGCTACATAACAAGTTATAATCAATCCAGGCTACATGAAACCTGCTTAAGAAAAAAAAAAGCAATTTAAATAATAGATATTAAACATTATGGTTTCTTACTATGGTTTTAATTTGGCTTTTTGTTTTGTTTTGGTTTTTTTCAAGACAGTTTCTCTGTGTAGCTTTGGTGCCTGTCCTGGAATTAGCTCTTGTAGACCAGGCTGGCTTCGAACTCACAGAAATTTGCCTGCCTCTGCCTCCCGAATGCTGGGATAAAAGGTGTATGCCACCACTACCTGGCTAATTTCGCATTTCTTACAAAAACAAAACAAACAAAAAAACAGAGTTTTAGCAACCCTTATAAACATAGCAACATAAAACTAAGTCACAAAAGAATGAAAAAACTACAAAGAGCTATCTGAAAAAATAAATGAAGAACTCCAAAATATGATGAGAAATACGATAATCTTTTCACCAGTCAAGTGTGGTGGCTCATGCTTAAAATCCCAGTACTCAGGAGGCTGCAATACCAGAATTGCTATGAATTTGACGCCAGTCTAGGATACTTGAGTTCCAGGCAGACCTAGGCTACAAAATAAGATGCAATAAATACATACATAAGGAAATAATAAAATGTATCTATTCATTCAAGATGCTCAAAAAACTACGTAATAAGCCGGGTACAGTGGCACACATCTTAAATCGCAACATGGGGGAGACAGACAGGCAGATCTCTGTGAGTTCAAGGCCAGTCTGATCTACACAGCAAGTTGCAGGCTAGCTGGGGCTACAAAGAAAAACACTGGTTTCATAAACCAAACCTAAAACAATAACAAACAATAAAAAAGTCCAGGCTTAATGCCAGCACTTGAAAGGCAGAGCCAGCAAATCTCTGCGAGTATAAAGGCCATCCTGTTCTATATACTGAGCTTCAGACCAGCCAAGAAAACATAAGACCATATCTCAAAAAAAAAGCAAAAACAAAAAAGAACAAATGTTTTGAGTAATAACCTTATCAATGTCCATTTGAATTAGAAATGTATTGCTGTGTGTGAATGTGTGTTTGCGTGTCTGCCTTTAAGTATATGTGTCTATATGCCATAATAAGGTTACAGAGATCAGAAGACAAATTCCCCTGCCACTCTTCGCCTTGCACTTTGTTTGAAACAGGGTCTCTTATGTTATGTTTGGCTGCTGTGCAGCTGGGCAGGCCCATGGTTTGGGAATGCTGCGCACAATCCTACTCCAGCTTTTTATCACTGATTCATTGTTTTTAATTTTTAGAAGTCTGAATTATAGAAAATGTACAGAATGCTTCTATATATTTCACACCCATTTCTCTGTTAACATCTTGCATTACTATGATACATTTACCACAACGAATGAACCAATACTGATATACTAAGTTACTAACTAAATTCTACTGTGTATAGATAATTAATTTTCCCCACATGTTCACTTTTTCTCTTCTATAATTAATCCAGAACTTCAAACTAGTCTTCTCCGGTTTGTGATTATTATCCTTATTTAGATAATTCTGTACAACGTCCCTCAGTTAAGGGATTCTCTGATTTAACACTACAGAGGTAAATGTTCTCTACACATGGACACGTCTCACCACAGACAATGCTAAATGCATCTGTCACATGTGATGTGGTCAAGCTTCCCCCAGCACAACATTTACTTAAAAAAGGGCGAGTTATACTCTATCTCTCTGAGGAAAGAGTCTGTAAAAAATGACTTAGAATCTGCATGTGTACTATTATATATTTTTGCTAAGTATTCCTGCATTTATTCCCCTTTAGTTATAAAGTACAGAAGTCTTTTTCATTCTATTTCTCAGGAACTAGAAATATACTATGATATTCAATGTGTGTTAAGTAGATAAATTTCAGTAAAGTTCAACAATGAAAATAAGAATCTTTGTTCACTTTACATCTTTAACATTTAAGATAAAGTATCTAAATTTTATTAGAATATTTAGAGCTACAGAAAATAAATGCAAAAAATTTCAAAACAAAAAAACAAATGAAAACATGAGTGACATTTATTCAATATATGAATAAATATATGAATCCACATATTCAAACAGTATTCACTTCTCGTTAAGTTACCAGTAAATACTTTTTTTTGTTGTCTTTTTGTTTTTGGAGACAGAGTTTCTCTGTGTAGCCCTGGCTGTCCTAGAATTCACTCTGTAGATCACACTGGCACTTCTGCTATTTAAGAGGATATGGTGGCTCATTACTTTTACTAACTGCAGTCCCAGGGGATCTTCTTCTGGCCTCAAGAGTAATCTACCTCAGGTTGGCCCTGCATTCTTAATCCTCCTGCCTCGGCCTTCCAAGAGTTAGTATTAGAGATAAATGCCAAAAAGTAGTTTTTAAATGTTCCAGCCAATTTTTACAATCAGATCTAAAGACATAAAGAAAAGCATTACATAAATAAGACCTTCTCAGGAGCAACAGTGTGATTTGGGAAGGGTGGAGGACTGCGTCTAACAAAATCTGGGTTCTAACCTAATTAAAGCAACAACCACATATGTGACCTGGTAACTAAACATGAGCTTGTGTAGCTCTGAAAATCAGCTTTCTAAATATTCTTTGTAAGCCCATATTTCATGCGGCTATTTAGATCATTCTGTAAACAATGCTTAACACAAATAAGACTCACACCCCAGAGTCAAGTGTACACAAAATCCATACAAACCTCAAGATCCAATTACTCCTTATTTGCTAAGCTGTGAAAACAGGGTAAGTTGACTAATTTACCTGTGCACCAGTTTCTTTAACTATAAAGTAATTTTTGCCACATGTGGTAGTCTATATCTGTAATCCTACCCCAGGAAAGACCATGGCAGGTTACATAGCGAAATCCCAAGTCAAGAAAAAGAACAAACAAATAAATAATGGTTACCCTCCACTAAACTATGACAGCCAGGATGACTCATGGAGCCTCTGTACCTGGAGGTCCTGCAGCAGCTGCATCTTCCATGAGTTCTCCCTCTTCCAATTCCATGTTGTTATATTCTACATCATTTTCTCCAGACCTGAGAATGGACAAAATCCATCGTGTTCAGAAAACTCATAATTCTCACAAAGGAAATGCAGCTGTATTAGAAGGTGAGTTACAGTTCCTACTCCCCCACCCCACAGGAGAAAGAGAGAGCTGTTTCCCAAGCTGTCCTCTGACTCTCACACACGCAGAGGTGTGCACATACATGTGCATGTGCACAGGCCAAATTCTAAATGAATTTTAAAAATTAAAAAAATTGTATCTGTCATACTTTGATAAGTGTTACGTTCCTAAATACAACTATGAAATGATCTTAGTCAGAATCATGACTGTGCATTTAATGTCCAAACAACTTTTAAATAACATCAAAATAAGCTAAAAATATTTGATCTTTATATCAGAAAATCTGGGAAAACACCGTAAAGAGGGAAGACTTCTCACTACTGCTTGGCATGTGGCTCAGTTAGTACAGTGGTGCTCATATAACCAGCCAGCATTTAGGAAGCCTAGTGTTTGACTTTTGTCACCACAGGGAGCCAGGAGTGGTGGCGCAGTACACATCTGCAATCTCAGTATTGAGGAGGTAGAGACAGGAAGATCAGAAGTTCCCATCCTATGTTACATAGTAAATTTCTGAGCAGCTTAGGCTATGGTGAGACCTCTCAAAGGGAAAACAGGGAAGGCACACATGCTAATAGTCAATGAGGAAAAACCAAAACCAAACAAACAAATAACAAGACAGACCAAAAACAACACCTTACATTTTAATATTAAAGAAAAAAGTCCAAGTCAGGAGAGAAGGAACATGCCAGCATACCCAATACTTGGGAAGTGCCAGGAGGAGAACTGGATTTCAAGGCCATCCTAAACTACACAGGACGTTCTATGAGGCCAGCTGAAACCTTGCCTTCACCCCCCCCCCACACACACACAGAGAAAGAGAAGGGGGAGGAAGGAAAGACAACAATCAAGAACATTTACTAGAGATGACAAAGACAACTTTACAAAACAGGGTGCTGCTTCCTATTTGTTCTTAAAAAGTCACCTTTAAACTGTTTTAAATAAAACTACAAAGTACTATTTGAAATAGTAAAAAAGACAATGCTAGTTTTATATATTTGAAGAAATCTTAATATGTAAGGAACTCGGCAGACTCACTATTAAGTAAAATTGATGAAAATTACATTTAAAAGCCACGCACAGCCAGGCGACAGTGACGCACGCTTTTGTTTTCAGCACTCGGGAGGCAGAAGCAGGCAGATCTCTGAGTTCAAAGCCAGCCTGTTCTACAGAAAGAGTTCCAAGACAGCTATGGATTCACAGTGAAACCCTGTATTTTTTTTTTAAAGATTTATTTATTTATTATGTATACAGTGTTCTGTCTGTATGTTTGTTGGGCAGAAGAGGGCACCAGACCTCATTACAGATGGCAGTGAGCCACCATGTGGTTGCTGGGAATTGAACTCAGGACCTCTGGAAGAGCAGTCAGTGCTCTTAACCTCTGAGTCATCTCTCCAGCCCGAAACCCTGTCTTGAAAAACAAAACAAAAAACAAACAAAACCCAACCAAACAAACAAAAAAGGCCACTCAAGACTCTGGAAATAAGGGTTGGGGAGGTGGCTCCATGGTTAAGAGCACGTCTTTCTTGTAAAGAGAACCTGGATTCAGTTCCCAAGAACCCACATGATGGCTCACAATCATTTATCTATAACTTCAGTTACAGGGGATCTGATGCCCTCTGCTGTGGACACTGGCCATGTATATGGTGCAAAGACATACATGCTGGCAAAAAAAAAGAAAAAAAAAAAAAAAAAACCTCAAAAAGTAAAGCTAAAAAAAAAAAAAAGAAGAAGAAAGCACTCTGGAAATATTCCTAAAGGTATAGAAAAATGAAGAAACGAAAATTTTAAAAAAGCATTAATATTGGTAATAAAAAAGAGCATAGGGCTGGGGGTGGCAGTGCACAACTTTAATTACAACACTCGAGAGGAAGAGGCAAGTGGAGGTGTACCTTTGAGTTGAGGCCAGCGTGGACTATACACAGATTGAGTTCTAGGTCAACCAAGACTACATAGTGGGCATAAATAGTACTTAAGTCAAGATTAATCCTTTCCCTCTTATTTCAGCCCAAAAGCAATTTCACTCTAAGTCACCATAACCAAGAGCATATGCCTTCCAGTTTGCTGGAGTGGGTAAGACACCAGCAGCATTTCTTATTCTGTAGGTAGTCTCCAACACCTAACCTGATGCCAAGGGCCAGGTATGTGTGGCCAAAAAAGACTTGCACCCTTAAGTCCAGACCTGTATTCAGAAGAGCTTCTATTGGGTGAAGGTATCCTGAGAATGCTCAGATCTACAGTGCTTACCACACTTTATTCCTCCAGTAGACACATCAGGGCCAACAAGACAAGCAAAGGGCTAAGGCATGTTCTCCCAATATCCAGTGTCTAAAGCAGGACAGAGAATTGTACCTTTGCCTCTGTCTAGGTTCAGAGACCTGAGGTTTTTGGTTTTTGGTTTCTTTCCCCCACTAAGAAAAGAAGAAGACTATAAAAGAGTATCAGAAAAACATACAATAGCCAGCCTAGCCTGATCAGCAAGTCCCAGGCTGGGCCAGTGTTATAACTCAGTGGTAAAAATCATTGACTGCAGCCTGAAAATCTGATCCCATCTCTGGGACCCACAGAGGAAGGAGAAGACAACTCACAAAAGTTGAACTCTGACCTCCATATGCCCATATTACACATACATACATGCACACACTTTCTTTTTAATTTGTAAAAAAAAAAAAAAACTGTACATATGTGTATGAGTCTTTTCTCTGTATATATGTCTGGGTATCACTTGAGTGCCTAGTGCCCACAGAGGGCAGAAGAGAGCATCACAGCCCCTGGGACTGCAGTAAGCTGCCATGTGGGCACTGGGAATTGAGCCCAGGTCCTCTGGGAGAGCAGCCACAGCTCTTAATCACTGAGCCATCTCTCCTGTCCAATAAAAAGATTTTTTTCAAATAAATAAATCACAGTGCTTAAATGATTCCTATGTAAAGTGTTGACACGGGCTGCTCACATGGTCTCCTCGTCAATGTCGTTCTCTTCTGTGTTGCTCGTTGCTGTGGAACTCGCAGAGGAGCTGCTGCCGTCGAGCTGATTCACTTCATCTTCCCCAGCAAGATCCAGATCCAGATCTCCATCCGAGAGCTCATGCTAAAACAAGGCAAATAAGATTTCTTCTCATTCCTTTTTGAGAATTCTGAGTCAAAACTTACTATGTAGCCCAGGTTGGTCTTAAACTCATGCAATCTTCCTATCTCAGCCTCTAGAGTGCTAGGATGTTAAGAAAGCACAAACAAGATCTCTGTTCTAAATGTTTCTACTTAGTTAGTCATCCCATCTAGGACATTACCAGAGAACTACCAGTGTAAATCCTATGTCTACCCTGCTCAATATTCCACAAAAAAGCTATACAACCTTACTGACTGGTACCACGATTGATTCAGTTATCAATTTGAGCTACATCCTCAAGTCAACTAGGACTAATTCACATACTCCAAGTCAACTTCCAGCAATTTCTCTTCATGTGATCTCAGACTTGAGAAGCAAGAAAGCAAGAAAACCAGAAATCCAAGGTCATCCTTTGTTACGTTGTGATGTTCTTGTAGACTATAGCCAACTTGGGCTACAAAAACATATCAATCTATCACCTAAGTCCCCCCTCCATTTTTTCTCATCCTCATATCTCTGCTCCCATCCACATAAAAAAAAAAAATCCCCTTCTCCAACTTTTAGTTGTCTTAGATAGAAATTCTGCCATTCATTTTACTCAACCTATCAAAGCAGACTGTTTCAATCAGAGCCCTATTTTCTTTACTTAGCTGAATAATGTTTTTAACCTTATCATCAATCTCTCCCCCGTAAGGGCACTGAAACATAAAACCCATGTCTTCCATGATATGGGATTCCCTTCTGTATGCTGTAACTATGTTTTATTACCATTGGTTAATGAATAAAGATGTTTCAGTCAATGGATTAGCAGAACAAAGTCAGGCAGAAAATCTGAACAGAGATATAAAGTAGGTGGAGTCAGAGAGAAGTCATGTAGCTGCCAAAGGAGCCTTTCTAGTAAGCCACAGCCTGGTGGCGATACACAGATTAATAGAAATGGGTTAATTTAAGATATAAGAATTAGGAAGGAACACACCCAAGCTACTGGCCAAGCAATGTTATAATTATAATAGTTTCTGTGTGATTTATTCAGGTTTGAGTGGCCGGGAAATGAATAGCAGTCTCTGCTTACACTCCCATTTTAAAAGTAACAACTACAGAAAATCTACTCTGTCCTTCTAATCTTAACTAAAAAGAAACAAAATCTACTTAGTGAGTTCTTAATCTAGCTATTATTTGGATTGGCAAAAATTAATTGCATCCCAAATCATAAGTCATCTTATCAGAAAACAAAGTACTTACCAGTTAGTAAAAGAACATATTTTTAAAAATAGTTGTTCATTCTATGATTTTTTTTAAAATGTACATTAGTGTTTTACCTGTATGTACGTCTGTACGAGGGTGTAGGATTCCCTAGAAGTGGAGCTACAAGCAGTTGTGAGCTGCCATGTGGGTTGCAGGAACTCAACCTGGGTCCTCTGGAAGATCAGCCAGTGCTTTTAACCACTGAGCCATATCTCCAGCTCCCAAAATAACATATTTTTACAAATCTACAATTTAAACAGTTTCTAGGCCATGTGTCACAGTTTCAGATAATGGTCTTCCATAATTAACTTTTGCAAAGTGTGAAATGTACAGAACATGCATTCATCAATAACGAAAACTAGTGGACAAGATGTTTAGAACACTGTCTGCTCTACATTATATGTTGGAGCTGACAATCCTACCATATATATCACAGTCTAAATCTATTCTTACATGATAGTCTTCATTCTGAATCTTTTCTTCTTCATCTTCATCTTCCTTAGTCTCTCTTACAGAAGCTGAAGTAGGTCCACCATCCAGAAGCATGTCAGAGCATGACCCAGCCTTCTTAGCTCGTGCCTCAGGAATATCATCATTTTGAGGGCTAAGATGATTATCTGGCGGTGACAAATCTCTTGATTTCTGAGTTCGGGACAGCTCAATAGTCAGTCTCTTTGAAAATAAGAACAGCACAAATTAATACTAATTGTAATAGGTGACTCAGTGGCAAAGCAAACGATGTTTACATTAAAAATCAGATATAAAATAAGCATGACAGCACATGTCATCAACCACAGCACATGGAAAGCAGAAGCAGGATGATCTCTAGCTTGGTCTTCATAGTCAAAAAAAACCAAACAAACAAAAACCATAATGTTGGAGTTGAAGAGATGGCTAAGGTGACATACAATAGGAAGCTCCTGAAGCTTTGTCCAACCTGTAGGATGCGACAGTACTAGCGTATGGAAGGACCTGAGAACATGTTTGTACACATGGAATCTCCAGAAGGCTAAGCCCTGTCATCTGTGGACAATGGCACTTGAGTGGGAACTGGGCACAGTGTTGAGTAGCTTTAATCCCAGCACCCAGGAGACAGAGACAGGCAGATCTCTGTGAGTCTGAGGTCAGCATGGTCCACATAGTTCCAGGGCAGCCACGGCTACACACTAAGACCCTGTCTCAAAACACTGGGGAAAAGACAGGTCTGTACATTCCTAGTTTTAAAAACCATTTCTCTTACTTCTTTCATTTTTTTTCCTGTTTTCTTTCTGAAAAACTCCTAAAAAAAAGATAAACTGCCTTTTGCATATCCAGTCTAAACTACACATATAGTTCACAAACTGTACAAAAAATACAGGCAGGGTTTTGATCTGTTTTGTTTGATGATGCTGAGAACCCAGGATTTTGAGCATGAGGTTAACAGCTAATTACTGATCTACATGTCCAGCACCAGCAATTTGAAATCTACATTCATTCATATTTAGGGGCTTCATCTACTATCACTTTCACAATCCTGTAGAAGGCCGCAACCACACTCTCCACCATAGATGGCGCTGCACCGCCAGGTGAGCTAGAAAGCTCACACGTGTTGGTAACTTTCCACTACTCCCAAGGTATCACCTGGGACTGGGAGCAGTTGACCAATCCAAGAGTGACACGTCCGAAGCTAGGACTGTTTCATATATAAGGGATGGGTTCCATCTTATCTGGGTCTCCGCCATGTGGCTTATGCTCTAGCTCCCAAGAGGATTAAAGCCATTTCTACAAAAGGATCCTGTGTCCCACATGGTTCTTGCAGGCGAGGCCGAGCGCAGGACACAATCCAAACCTTCCACTCTATCCAAAGTCTATACAAAGGGGCTGTCTCAGTGAGTAAGAACACTTGCCACCAGATCTGACTACCCGAGTTCAATCCCTAAACCCACATGATAGAAGGAGAGAGAATCAACTCCCAGAAGTCGTTCTGACTTCCAAATGTGCACAGTGGCAAGAGCACCCCCACACACACATATAACATAAGACAGTTCAAATTCCACATAAAGAATTCCTAACATAATTTCATTATTACAAAATCAAAATTAATTAACAATCTATTATAGTGTTCAAAAACAGCAAGAATTCAAAGTGTGGCAAATTTCAACAAGTCTACTTTTGAATCTTTAAATCCAATACAGCTTGTAGAAAACAATTACCTTAGTTACTGAAACACAATGTTTATCTCAAACCAGAGTAGTGCTGCATAAGACAACACTGCATAATAAAAATATTGCACATCTAGAGTGTCTACACAAGCCTCTGAAATGAAGTTACTATAAATAAGGAATAATAATATAGTTGATGTTAATTAAATTGAGCTAATGTAGCTAAATGTGGCTACACAATCGAGTGGTGCAGAATCTAGAAGCTCAAAGGGTGGAGAAAAGGAGAACTAGAATTTTGTTTTGCCACAACATTAAAATGGATAGCCAAAATCAAATTAAAAAAGCAGCAGGCCAAAAGGACAATAGACTGTGCAAATTAGAAGAAACGCAATTGTCTTACCTCTTTAAGATTGTTTATTTGCTGAATATAGCCAGTTTGTGCAGCTTCCAGTTGAGTAATGTACCAGTGCTGATCCCGACATTTCTGAAAAAATGTTGGTGAGCGTACCTGAAACCTTAAAGAACAGTTCCACATGAAGAATAATCTACATAGTGAATCTGTGAATTATATAAACTCTACAGTTCTGCTGCGGGAGCTCCTTCTGCTCCTTCAGTAAATAGCCACTGAGATACCAGCCCACTGGGGCGTGGTCTCTCTCTCTTTAAAAAAGCAGCGGCTGGGGGCTGAAGAGATGGCTCAGTGGTTAAGAGCATTGCCTGCTCTTCCAAAGGTCCTGAGTTCAATTCCCAGCAACCACATGGTGGCTCACAACCATCTGTAATCAGGTCTGATGCCCTCTTCTGGTCTGCAGACATACACACAGACAGAATATTGTATACTAAATAAATAAATAAATATATTTTTAAAAAAAAAGCAGCAGCTGTCCTCCACTCTCTCTCTGGCTTCGGGCTTCCGGCTTTCACTTCCGGCTTCTAGACTCCTTTCCTGTAGGCGCAGAGGGGCTGTTGTCTGGGACGGTAATCTTTAAGTTTTTTCCCCTTTGAATAAATAACCATTCTATTAATCATAATTCCAAACTGGTGTGGGATTGTTTGTGACTTACGCCTTCACCGTTCCCATTTGATGAAGAACTACTTCAAATGAATTCAGAGTTTCTATTACCCACTATTCACGCATGTACTCATAAACCATAATGACATATGTCTCTAAATGCCAGTTGTCTCCATTAAAACCATATATTTTTGGTTTTTTGTTTTCCTTGAGACAGGATTATCTGTGTAGCCCTGGTTATCCTAGAACTCACTCTGAAGACCAGGCTGGCCTCAAATTCGGAAATCCTTCTGCCTCTGTATCCCAAGTGCTGGGAATAAAAGCAAGAGTCACCACCATTGGCCTTTTTTTCCCCTTTTTTATGTATGAGTGTTTTGCCTGCATGTAGGTGTGTGCATCACATGCATGTCAGAAGAGGGTGTCAGATCATCTGAAACTGGAGTTGCAGACAGTTATGAGTTGCCATGTGGGTGCTAGGAAGCAAGCCTGGGTCCTCTAAACCACATAGCCACCTATTCAGCCGCAAAGCTATACTTTTCTAAAGATCATGTTGTATATCAAGATTAAGCTGCCAAGTTAACCCACAAACCATAGATACTATAAAACTATATTTCAAATGTGATGATCTCAAGCTGGAAAAGAAAGAGGACCATACTACACAGGAATAGTTAGGAAAACAACACTTTCCTATCCCTTTGCCTAGGTCAGGTTCCAGGAAAATACAATTTAAGGCTGTTTTTTCCTCCCCTTTCCAAGCCTGTTGGATATTTTGTTTGTGCTCTGACAAATAAAGCTTGCCTGGAGATCAGAGGGCAGTGCTATTTAACCACAGAGGCCAGGCAGTGGTGGCACACACCTTTCTTCCCAGCACTTGGGGTGAGGAAGCAGGAAAATCAGGAGTTCAAGGCCACCTAGAGCTAGTGGGATTGAACCATTCTCAAAGAGAAATAGCCGGGCAATGGTGCACGCCTTTAATCCCAGTGCTCAGGAGGCAGAGGCAGGCTGATCTCTGTGAGTTCGAGGTCAGCCTAGTCTACAAGAGCTAGTTCCAGGACAGGCTCCAAAGCTACATAGAAACCCTGTCTCAAACCTCCCCCCACAACAAACAAACAAACAAATAAATAAGAAACAGCCAAGCAGTGGTGGCTGACACCTGTGACCCCAATACTTGGGACCTCATGCCTTTGATCCCAGCACTAGGGAGGTGAAGACAGGAATATAAGGCAGGTGGATTCGGTCTGAGGATTTGTAGAGACAGGAGTTTAAGGAATATAAAGTGGGTGGAGACAGGATCTCACGTCATTCCGTTGGAGATTTTTAGTAGAGATAAGAAATTTCTGGTGGCTGGCTGCTCTGCTTCTCTGATCTTTCAGCTTTTACCCTAATATCTAAGGATTTTTATTAAGACTAATTAGTTTCACACTTCAAAGCGCGTTCTTTTTCTCTCTCTCTCTGTTCTTTTTTGAGGCAGGGTTTCACTGTGAGTCCTGACTGTTCTAGAGCTCACTCTATAGACCAAGCTGGCCTTGAACTCACAGATCTGCCTGTCTCTGCCTCCCTAGTACTGGGATTAAAGGTGTATGCCGCCACAACCACCTGGCCCCTCCAAATTCTTAATCTGATTTTCGTTTTTCTTTTGTTTTATTGAGGCAGAGTGTCACACAGTGATCCTCCTGCGTTATACTCCAGGTTCCACATATTTCCTGTCCTTTGGGATAATCCATATAATGGGTTGAGTACCCAACACTACTTCACCACCCTCAAAAGAGTCGCATGCCTCCAATAAATTTTATCTTCACCCTCTCCTTATAATCAAAACTCCCCACATCAACAAAATGGTATATAGAAAGTATTTATATTAAATCATACTAACAAATAAGTTTTTAATGAACCTGGTTGTTCATATTTTTTAAAAAAAACTCAATATTTATTAAAAACAAACCCCATTCTTAGAGTCAAACATGATTCCTCCAAGTGAAGAACAAATGCCGTACATGTATAACTATACTCCTGAGGGAAGAGCCACAAGGCTAAGTCTGTACTTCTCTCACCTTTTCTAGTCCTTCCACTCTGCCATCCTTGTGGTGTTAGCTACTTGAGAACTTAAACATGTCCCCAAAAGCCCAAGCATAGAAGGGTGCTCCCTTTAGTGCATTATTAGAAGGTATTCATGTCACTGGGGCATGCCTTTAAAGAGGACACTAGACACCATACTCTTCCAAATCTAGCTATGAGGTGACTGGTTTGCCTCATGAAACGCTTCTACCATAATGTGATGATATATGCTAAGCAATGGGACTAATTTATCATGGACTGAAACCTCCAAAATGATGAACCAGACACTTTATAAATTGATTATCTCAGGCACTTGTTACAGGAACAGAAAACAAGCAACAAAGCAACCTGAAGGGAGAAGGGATAGGTTACAGTCCGTTATTGTCAAGGCAGAAATTAGACACACAATTATATCCCAATACAAAAGCAGACAGAATGGATGCAGGCATGTATGCCTGCTCTTAGTTCACCTTCTCCTTTATAGAGCCCAGGACTCAAACCAAGAGAATGGGGCTGCCGTGAACTGCAGGTCTTTCCATCTCAGTTAACACAATCAGATAATCCCCCACAGACACACCCACAGGCCGACCTAATCTACACAAGCTCTAGTGGGTGACACTGCCTTCTCAGGTGATTCCACAATAAAACTAACCATCAAATAGAAACAACTGAAGCCAGGCAGTGGTGGTACACGCCTTTAATCCCAGCACTCGGGAGGCAGAGGCAGGTGAATCTCTGTGAGTTTGGAACTAGCCTGGTCTACAAGAGCTAGTTCTAGGACAGTCAGAACTGTTACAATACAGAGAAACCCTGTCTCCAAAACAAAAAAATTAATTTTATCTAAGATTTTACACCTAATGCAAGAAAATACTATCCAAGCGGGCAGTAGTGGCACACGCCTTTAATATCAGCACTTGGGAGGCAAAGGCAGGCGAATCTCTGAGTTTGAAGCCAGCCTGGTCTACAAGAGCTAGTTCCAGGACAGGCTCCAAAGCTACAAAGAAACCCTATCTTGAAAAACCAAAAAGAAAAAAAAAATTTGTCACTCATACTGGTTTAATAAAGTGCTGATTCCTTTCCTTCCTTCCTTCTTCCCTTCCTTTCTTCCCTCCTTCCTTTTTGAGACAGGGTTTCTCTGTAATTTTTGGTGCATGTCCTAGAACTAGCTCTTGTAGACCAGGCTGGACTTGAACACCTGCCTCTGCCTCCTCTGAGTGCTGGGATAAAAGGCGTGTACACCACCGCCCAGCTGATCCCCTACTTCTAACATGATTTTATCAGAAAATGAAAGATGCTCTATAAAATTAAGCTCATAAAATCAGCCATTGAAATATTATTCTGTCAAACAGGGGAAAAAAGAAAAAAATAAACCACTCAATGCCTCCCTATTCCTAGACAGCCTTTAAGTTACACGTTCCATGAACAGGCTGAAGCTAATAATGAGGATTCTTGTTAGTATAACACCACTCTGATTCTGCGTTTGAAGCCAAGTATGGAATTATCTACCTGCAGCATATTAGCACTACACAATTTCAGATTTGGGGGCATGCTGGATTTTTAGTTAGGTATGCTCAAACTATAAGCCATCCTAAAAAAAAAAAAAATTCTCAGACTGGCTTCAAACCTGTTATGTAACCTAGACTGGCATTGAATTCCTAATTTTTCTGACTCTACAACTCAAATACTGGGATTATAGGGATGAGGCATCACATGTGGCAATATTTTCCTTTTTAATGGAATCAATAACTAGGTATCAAACCATTTTTTTCACTTTTATTATTCATCTAAATACACGGAACTCCTGAAATAAAAGTTACAGTTAGTGTGAATTTCAGTACTTATGTTTGTTAAATGAATAAACTTTGAAATAAAGTTTAGATGACATTATTCTCCATAATTTAAGTCATATTATCAAATATCTCAAACTACCTTAAAATCACTGTATCATTTTGTCGGTTCAGGTATCCTTCATTTGCAAGTAAGTCCAAACGAAAAAATCTATTATAGCCCCAGCACTCTCCAACTTCAAAGTCAGATGCAAATTCTCGAATAATATTTTTAGTAGGATCGTTGCAGGACTGATGAACCATTTCTACACGATATTCATACCTAAAATACAGACACCATTAGTACAGTCAGCAATGTAAAAATAAGTATCGATACAAAAATAAAATTGTTACTCCAGCTGAACTCCTTTCAGAAATGATATCATTTACAGAAACAAAAGTATTTCAGATGGGTCACTGCCTTAGTTAGGGTTACTATCACTGTGATTAAACACTGCAACAAAAGCAATAAAAGCAATTTGGGAAGGAAAGGGTTTTTTGTTTGTTTGTTTGTTTTTTAACCACACCTCTTCAAAAGAGAAAGGGTTTATAGGCTTACAGTTCCATATCACTGTTCATCACTGAAGGCAGTCAGGACAGGAACTCGAACAGGACAGGAACCTGGAGGGAAACCTCTATAAGGAAAAACTACTCTACTCTCTCCTTAAAGAAATTCTCGCTGGGCGGTGGTGGCGCACACCTTTAATCCCAGCACTTGGGAGGCAGAGGCAGGTGGATCTCTGTGAGTTGGAGGCCAGCCTGGTCTACAAGAACTAATTCCAGGACAGGCTCCAGAGCTACAGAGAAACCCTGTCTCGTAAAACCAAAAAAAGAAAGAGAGAGAGAGAGAGAGAGAGAGATTCTCAGAAAATGTCTCAGGTGGCCCACACCTGCAATCTCAGCACCTGGGAGATGAAAGCAGAAATATCCAGGAGTTCAAGGCATCCTTGGCTATATCAAGTTTAACACCCTCAGTTTAAAACAACAAGAACAAAAGACAGGAACTGAAGGAAGTTCGGACAGGAATCCAAGTAGGGCTGCAACCTGGAGGGTTTTGTTTTTTCTTATGAAAGTGATAATTTTGTTTTAAGTATTATATGCATGTATATGTTCACACACACCTTGAGAAAGAGATTAAGGCTTGAGAAAATGATGAAGTGTTTCTACAGACCCTACGTAATACTCAGATCTACTAGACTGCTATCTAGATTGCTATACAATGATGCATGTTTTTACTCTACATCTTGGAAGTTAAACTACCCACTGCTAAACCTTGAACTGCAAAATTAAACACCATTTCAACATTTAATGAAGAGGATTGAGAACCCAGTATGCTTCCTGAAGCATTAAATGAATTAATTAATTGTATTTATCAAAATAGAAGACTCACATAAAAGTATGTAGACAGTGTCCAACAAGCACACACATATAAATTCCAATCTTCTCTGAACACAGCACTATGAACATATAACATTATCAATGGTAAGGTATTACTATTTCTAAACCAATGTGAATGTTAGAAAACTCCTGAAATGGACATTGGAGATGTAGTGCAGTAACAGAGCCCTAAACCCTGGACTCGGTCTCTTGTTCAAAATAAATAAATGAATTAAAGTGCTGACATCTGTTTGGTCAGTGATAATAGCATCAAGCTGAATCCAGTACCAAAGATAATAAAAATGTTAAAATACAGACAGAAAAAAAAATCAAAGACAGAAATAAAAATCCCCTTAGGACTTAGAATTTTAAATTTTAAAAATTAAAATTTAAGATACAAAACATAAATTTCCCAAAAGAAAGAAATAGAGGCAAAGCCAGGCAAAGTGGTGTATGTTTTTAATCCCAGGAGTGAGAACTGAACCCACTGACGTGTACTTTTTTTTTAAGCTCTGACAATTTTATTAGTGTTTAGACGAAAAATCCCAGAACAAGCAAGCTGTAAATCTCAGCAGCTACCAGGAGGCGGAGAATGGAGAAGGGAAAACAGAAAAAACCATGTTGTTTAAGCAGGCTGGGAAGCCAGGCACAAAGTGGAGAGGAGCATTAGGAAAAGAATAAGGTAATGCCAGACATATTAGAGAAACATGCTTGGAGCAGAGACAGGAAAAAAGGAAGTCAGGCTTCCCTAAGTAACTCAGAAGACTGAGTGATCCCAGACACTGGATAGTTGAGGGTGGTTTTGCTTTGACTGTGACTTTGTCCTGAATTTCCTCTCTTGAAAAAAGAAAGTATTCATTTTTTTATTTTAGTGAAGCCCACGATTGAGAAACTTTTGAGTTTTAAAAAAGGTTGGATTTTAAGAGATTGGCTATTTTAAAGCAACTGAAATTTTAATGTGCTTGAATTTATAAAGACCGCAGGACTTTAAAGTCATGTTTTTAATGTGAGATCTTGAGGAGGAATAAGGAAGGGCTGTGGCTTAGTAGTGATGTGTTTGTGTGTCAAGATGACAAGGGGTCGGTTGTACTGGTTGGTTTTATGTCAACTTGTCTCAAGCTAGACATCAGAGAAAAAAGAGCCTCAACTGAAAAAATGCTTCCATAAGATCCAGCTGTAAGGCATTTTCTTAATTAACGGAGGAAGGTCTAGCCCATTGTAGGAGGTGCCAATTCTGGGGCTGGTTCCATAACAAAGCAAGCTAAGCAAGCCAGGAAGCAGCATCCCTCCCATGACCTCTGCATCAGCTCCTGCCTCCAGGTTCCTACTCTGCTTGAGTTCCTGTCCTGACTTCCTTTTGTACTTAACATCAATATAGTTCATTAAACAGAAGTGTAAGTTGAATAAACCCTTTCCTCCCCAATTTGCTTTTTGGTCATGGTGCTTCATTGCAGCAATAGAAAGAAACTCTAAGACATGAAGCATGTAAGCTTGTATTAAAGTAGTTAATTAAATTGCTTACCTGGCAGGGTGGTGGGGACACATGCTCTTAATCCTAGCACTTGGGAGACAGAGGCAGGCAGATCTGTAAGTTCAAGGCCAGTCTGGTGTACAGAGTGAGTTCCAGGACAGTCATAGCTACAAAGAAACCCAGTCTCAAACACTCCCACCCACCACCCCACTCCCAGTACCCACGCAAAAACAAAACAAAACAAAACAAAACAAAAACAAAAACAAAAACAAAAACAAAAACAACCCGCTTACTTGGAAGTTTCAGGTAAGCCAGCTGATAGCTCCAAAAATACAGATAAGTAGTAGCCTCGTACAACTCCATTTCCATCCTAAAACAAGAAAAGAGGTTATGCAAAACAAACCAGACATCAATTCCAATACACAAATTTAAAGCAATGATGAAGCCTACAAACCAATATCTGATAATTGGGTTGAGATATATATCTAAGCTTAAAAACCAATAAAAAAATGTAAAAACCTAAATGTTTGTCCATATCAATTTTAAAATTTTATACATTAACTTAACCTTAAAAGTAATCTACCTCTTAAAATTTGTAATTTAATATTTGTTTGATGAATTTGTGCCACTTTAACCTCTCACTATCATTCCCATTTTGCTACATTTCTGTTAAGGAGATTTTATGTTGAAATACTGTATAAAGCTTTTGTAGCTGTTTAAAAATAAAATATTTAAAATTAAAAAAATTTATACATTAAAAAAGTAAAAATATTCACATTAACATATTAAGGAAACCATAAAAACAGTTAGAGAGTTTTAACACTTATAGACTCCTTACAAACCAATCTTGAGAAAAAACAAAAACTCAGTGAAAAAAAACAAATGACTACTTATTTTCACTAGAAGTGAGTGAAACCGAGTGGCAAGTATCAAAACGAATATCAGGGAAGTACTCTGCCATTGAGCTACATTCCCACATTCAAATAAGAATTTTTAAAATAAGGGGATGATATCCAGAATAAACAGAACTCCTACAACTTAACAGGAAAAGGAACAAACCTGATTAAAAATGGGCAAAAGACCTGACTAGGTTGTGTCTACAAAAATATGCAAATAGTGAACAAACACGTGACTGCATGCCCTGTATCACTGATTACTAAGAAATGTTAACCAGAACCATGATGAGCAAGACCTCACGATAATGTGCAGCAGAAGAGCCGACAGGTTCTTGAAGAGAATGAAGCATCCCTGCACTGCTGATACTAAGACGAAAATGACGCCAAATGCTGCTGCTTTAGAAAATAAAACAATCACTCTATGACCCGGTGATTCCACTTCTGAATATTTGTCTACAAGAATAACTGAAAACAGTTTCTTTTTTAAATAATTTATTTAATTTTAAGCACATTAGTGTGACGGTGTTAGATTCCTGATCCAAACTGAGTTACAGACTGTTGTGAGCTGCCATGTGGGTGCTGGGAGTGTTTGAACCTGGGTCCTCTGGAAAGGCAGCCAATGTTCTTAACCATTGAGCCATCTCTCCAGCCCTGAAAACGGTTTCTTAAAAGAGATGAGTGGCATCTATGTTAACAGCAGCCAAGAGGTGAGGGTAGCCTGAGATACACAGTAAGATCATCTCAAGAAAAGGAAGGAGGGGAGTAGAACAATGGCTCAGTAGAAAAAAAAAAATCAGTGAACAAAATGTGAAATGCACATATTGGGATTCATCTTTATCAATGAATGAAAATTCTATGCTACCAAAAATAAAAGATGAACCTTGAGGACAAGAACATTAATGCTCATTATGATGGGTCTAATAAGCCACTCATAGTAAATTACTATGTGATTCATTCCACTTACGTATTACAAGAGTCAAATTCAGAGAAACAGAATGTAGAATTAGAACCTATCAGAAGCTAGGAGGAAAAAACAGAGCTTTTTTTTTAAAGCTGAGCATTTCAAAGTTGAGTTAGTGTTTTGAGACAGGATCTCATGGACTAGAGGAAGCTAGCATGGAGTTCACTATAAGACTCAGACTTGACTCAAACTCAAAACCCTGCCTCTGCTTTTGTTTTTGAGATGGGGGGCGGGTCTCATTGCTTAGTCCTGGCTGGCCCTAAACTAAACCACGTTCGTCTCAAACACAAAAATCTACCTGTCTCTGCTCCGCCTCCAGATTCTTGGAATTTGCCATGTACTTCAAATTGAAACATTCCACCCTGAAGAGCTCCATTAAAGTTTCTAAGACTCATTTGGGTGGTAGTGGTGTACGTCTTTAATCCCAGTGCTCAGGAAGCAAAGGATCTCTATGAGTTCAAGGCAGCCGGGTCTACAGAGTGTGTTCCAGGACAACCAGGGCTATACAGAGAAACCCTATCTTAAAAAACAAAACAAAAAAATCCACAAGCCCTCTCTCATGGTTACTGAGGCAGCAAACAGTTGTTGCATAAAGGTGACTCTCCCACAATTCCATTGCCTGCAAGACACGCAAGGGGCTTGAGGGATGCAGCTTCTGCACTTGCGGGCTTTTCAGTGATGCAGCTTTTTGAGCCAGCCATCTCTCTCCTAAGCAAACCTCACCTATACTTCTCCAGTCCCAATAGACTCACTGGTTCACTAAGCTCTAGCTGCTCACTTTATGCTCCAACTAGATGTTAAATTTGTTTGCTCTCTCAGTCACACTACCCTAGTTTATCTGCAGGATGTTGTAAACTCCTGATTTGATGATATTTTACTATTTTTCTGCATCTCTCTATCTACAACTTGCTATTTATTCTTTAACGTTGCTTGTTATATCATTATAAACTCACTCAGTCAGAACCAAAAGTATGATTATGTACAGACATACTTGGCAAAATTCATGAAATGCCCTTTCAGTTTCAAATGCTCCATGGTTGCTGAAGAAACAAACCCCTGGCTGGGAAGACCTCCTTCACTGTGTGTCAGCTTGTGAAGAACAGACCGCTCTTCGTGAATAGTGCCTAGCAAGTTGGAAAGCTTTGAAGCAACACCGTGTTGCTCACGCTTTGTTTGCGGCGCGGTAGATGGATGAGCCGCTAACAGAAACTGGCTGCTCATCCAGAGGACCATAGTTTTGATTCCAGCACCCACATGGGGGGCTCATGATATACATGGGTACCAAAACATGCAGACAAAACACCCATACACATAAAAGTAATAAATGCTCAAAAGTTTAAATAAAATCGAAAAATTACAACAAAATAATGGGAAAAAATGATGTGACTGTGACATAAAGTCACAAATACACAGAATGATCCTAGATTAACTTATCCTACACAATAAGTAAAAGAAACAGCTAGAATCATTTACATCTACTAAAATCGTGGCAAGAAATGCACACTAACTCAATGAGATTATATAAAGATCCAATGGTTCATAATACTTAAACCTATAGCTTTCTGAGGAAAATCTGACAAACACATTGGGAGAGGAAAAGAGAGATGGGTGATAACAGGTACCCAAATAATAGAAGGGAAACATTCACTATGAAAGCATTACAACCATTAAATGACACAGAAAATGACCATCAATAGTTATCAATACCACAAAAGAAAACACAAGACATTTCAAAGTAAAAGAACACTAATTCTTGCTAAAGGAAAGTACCTAATGCTAAGCATCATGATTTATAGCTATAATTCCAGAATTCAGAATGCTACTGCAAAAGAATCATGAGCTCTAAATTAACCTATATTACAGATTAAGGATTAGGTCAACCTGGGTTACATAGTAAGACCCTGTCTAGGCTTGGACTAGAGAGATGGTTCAGTGATTAAGAGCATGCTGCTCATGGAAAAGACCCAAGATCAATTCTCAGAACTCACAGGGTGGGCCATAACCACCTGTAAGCCCAGTTCTAGCTACAATATCTGCAGAATGTTGTAAACTCCTGATTTGATGATATTTTACTACTATGCCCTCTTCTGGCCTCCAAAAGCACTATGCTTATAAGGAGTACAAATATACATAGATGGTACATATAGGCACTCATTCATATAAAATATAAAAATAATTTTTAAAAATTTTAATTTAAATATTTAGTTTAATCTAAAATTTAATATTTAATTTTTATTTCATTTAAATTAAATTTAAAATTCAATCGTCAGTCAAATTCAATCAACTTTTTAAAAATGTTTTTTAGTACCTGTGAATTTCTTTTGGGGTGCTGGGTATTGCATGGCAGATAAGTACTCTGCAACTGAGCTACAAGACAACTCTAAGTTACCCTTTTTCCTTTTCAAGATCTTTAAAGAACTTTCAATTCCCAGCACCTACACAGTGGCTGGCCACCAGCTGTAACTCTCGTTCCAAAGTAACCAACATCCTCTTAACCAGGTACCATTGTGTTGCACCTACACAGAAGCAAGCAAACACTCAAACATACAAAATAAAATAAAGAAGTTAAAATAAAATGTAGCTAGGCAACATGGTGGTACAAGTCTTTAAACCCAGCACTTGGGAGACAGAGAGGTAGGTGGATCTCTGAATTGAGACCAGCGTGGTCTACAGAGAGAGTGCCAGCTCAGCCTGGGTTACATAAGAAAAAAATAAAATTAAAACTTTTTTAAAATTTTTTTTATTTTTTTTGTATGAAGGTTTTACGTATATATATATATATATATCTGCACACCACATGTGTGCCTGGTGCCCTTGGAAGCCAGAAGAGGGTGAAAGATCCCTTCAAACTGTAGTCACAGATCGTGTGGGTGCAGGGAGTCAAACTGTAGTCACAGATGGTGTGGGCTACCACATGGGTCCCGGGAGTCAACAGCACTCTTAACCGCTGACCCATCTCTCTAGCTTCTAAAACTGTCTTCCACACGTATTTATCTCCCTACAAACTAGAAATAAAATTTAGTGATGTTGGAGCTTATATATTCATATTTAACACATTTTGTACATATTCAGTAATAAATAGCATAAACAGAAAATTGCCAATTTTCATACTCCTCTACTAAGTAAACTAGTATACTTTAAAACACTAAAGAAAATCTCAAAATTAAGTTGAAAATTTAGAAATATAAAAAACTTACTGGATAAACTTTTAACCTCCAACAAAGTCCTGAAACTTGAAGAGGTGGGCTGTAAACAGGATCTGCTCTCTGGCGCAAAGTGCTGAAAAGAAAGAAAACCAACCAAATTCCAACATCAAAACTATTGTGAAATGGCAACAAGCAAAACCAAAAAGCAACTACATACCTTAAACTAATATATAATCTATATATAAAAACTGATATATTTATATAATATAAATAATATAATATATAAAAACTGAACAACAGAAGGTGACCGAACAAGTCAGACTTACTAAATAAGCTTGGATGTACTTACATATGAATTAATGATACTTAAACATTTAGCAGTATCTTTTACTTCGTAATTAAAACCCAACAAAAACTCAAAAACTGCCATTTAAGGGAAAACAGAGTACACTAAGTATTCCACATTTAATTCTGCTTCAGTAACCATTCTTTACTATTTATAAAACAAAAACATGGGAGAATAACTTAATGGTACAGCATGTGTTTAGCATGTGTACAGTCTTAGCTCAATATTAAGCACCAAAAATTATTAAACAAACGAAACAGATCATTTCTGTATAGCACATTTCTTTTAATGGAGAAATAAGAATGTGTGTCAACCCTTAATATTTGTAGGGGAAATTCAGCAAGGTTTTTAGTTACAAAACTACACCATTAAAAACAGACAAAATGGGCTGAGAAGGGAACTCAGTTAGTTAAGGCCCTCCACAAGCACAAGTACTTAAATCAAGCCCCAGAAACTAAGTTAAAAGCTGCTAGGAATGGTGGCTTGCACTGGCAATGCCCAAACTGTGGAAATGGAGACAGATGCATCCCTGAGCCTTGATGGTCTGCCAGCCTAAGGCATTTGGGACGACTCCAGGACATTTATTATTCTTTCAGAATATCTAAGTTCAGTTTCGAGCACCTGTATTTAGTAGTTTATAATAGTTCCGGGACTGCTTGAAAACTGTACTCACACTTGTGTGTACTCACAGACAGACAGACACATACGCAGAATTTAAAAACAAAAACGATGGGTAACACCTGAGGATGTCTTCTGACCTCCACACATGAAGCAATACAAATATATACTAAACACACATACCACCACCACTACCACCCATCCCCAGCACAGGGTAAAAACAGGTGCACAAGTATGGCTTTTTAGTTATCAGTACCTATTCCCACTATTTCCCAAAGATCTCATATTTTAAGTTCCCTTTATTGTCCTGTCCTTGAAGTCTCTTATAGTCTTTGTGATTTCATATATTTACTTCTAGACCAGTGTGGTGGTGCATTCCTTTAATTCCAATCTGGTCTACATAGGAAGTTCCAAGGTTAGCTGGGTATATAGTGAAATCCTGTCTTAAACACACACACACACACACACACACACACACAGACAGAGAGAGAGAGAGAGAGGGAGAGAATAGATGATAGATAATTGAATAAATAAGTTTCTAAAGGAAATTAGCAAAGTCAAAGGAAACATGAAGTTTAACAAAAGAGTCTATACATGTCTTAAAATAATGGTCTGTTATGCATGATTCTTCACGTTTAGCATAGAAAAACAGACACCCAGTAGCCTTCTTTCCACAATTTTTATATACAATTCTTTTATACAAAATGTTGGGGCACACACAGATGTGAGCTGGTCCACCGTGTCTGAGCTTATTTTGCTCTCTCAAGGTTGTTAACAACAGCTGTGATTACAAAGGAGAGATTCTGGCCTAGGGTGTGGTTGGTTATTAGTATTTTGAGTGCTGAAGTAGATTCCCTCCACCAGGACCAAAAGTTGGTGAATTCAAGCCTATTTCTGTGTCATACTAATGAAGTCTGTTGCACCCCGCCCCCCTCTCTTCCGTTTTGGAGGAAGTATATAAGCATGTGGAAACTAAATGAGGATTCAGTATTCAGTGACTGTATCTCCCGATGCTGCCCTATGTTTCAGTCTCTTATTTCCCCTATAACCCTGTTCCTTTTGCCTAATAATACTAACCCTCCCGCTCCTACCCTGTAACGTACGAGTTTTGTTGAAGCTAGTTTTCAACAACAAAAGCTAAGTGTGTTCTATTTTTAAAATATTTCCTTTGGTCCAGGTATAGTGGCACACACCTTTAATACCAGCACTACGGAGCAGACACAGGCCAATCTGAGTTTAAGACCAGCTTAGTCTACAAAGTTCCAGGACAGCCAGGACTGTTACACCAAGAAACTCTGTCACGAAAAAAAAAAAAAAAAACAGTAACAAAAAGAATTCCTTTGCAACTGGAGAGATAGCTCAGCAGCTAGGAACACTTGCTGCTCTACCAGAGAACTCAAGTTCAATTCCCAGCACAGCAGCTCTAATTCCAGGAGATCTGATGGTCTCTTCTGGCCTCCGCGGCACCAAGTATTCACATGGTGCACAAACACAAACAAAGGCAAAACACCCATACACATAAAACAAAATAAAATTTAAAAATATATTTATAAAGCCGGCAGGGGTGGCACACACCTTTTATCACAGTCTTCAAGATGTAAAGGCAGGCAGATCTCTGAGTTCTAGGCAAGCCTGGTCTATAGAATGAAATGCAGGCAACCAGAGCTACACAGAGAAATCCCATCTCAAAAAAACAAACTTTAAAGATCTAATAAAGAGCCCGGTGGTGGTGTCGCATGCAGCAGAGGCAGGCAGATCTCTGTGAGCTCAAGGCCAGCCTGAACTACAAGAGCTAGGTCCAGGACAGGTTCCAAAGCTACAGAGAAACCCTGTCTCGAAAAACCAAAAGAAATCCAACAAAGAGGTCATCAAGTAGAAAAACGTATTCCCAACTTCATGCACAGCCATTGATGATACTCTATGAAATTACCTTCAGGTTATATGTTATAATGTGTACATGAAACAGAAATACATTTTGCTTTAGACTGAATCTTACATAACCAAGATATCTCAATATCTATATGCATTTTTCTCCCTATTTTTTGAGACAGGGTTTCTCTTTGTAGTCCTGACTGTCCTGGAACTTGTTCTGTAGACCAGACTACCCTCAAACTTAAGAGATTTGACTGCCCTGCCTCCAGAGTACAGGGATTAAAGGTGTGCACCACCACATCCAGTTCTATGTGCAAATATTTTAAACTCTGAAATCCAAATATGTCTTCCCTCTGAGATAAGAAATGAAGCCCAGGGCTGGAGAGATGGCTCAGTGGTTAAGAGCATTGCCTGTTCTTCCAGAGGTCCTGAGTTCAATTCCCGGCAACCGCATGGTGGCTCACAACCATCTGTGGTGAGGTCTGGTGCCCTCTTCTGGCCTGCGGGCATACACGCAGACAGAATATTGTATGCATGATAAATAAATAAATAAATATTTAAAAAAAAAAAAAAGAAAGAAAGAAAGAAATGAAGCCCAGCATGGGCACTCCAGACCAGCTCTGCTTCTAACAGGAAACTTTAGTTAGGGACCTCATTAGCTCATTCTTACCACATAAGACCATCTAGTCTCTTACTTTTGCACACAAATACACAAGAAAAACTCAGAATTCTTAAAACCTCTTACCTGAAGTTCTCTAATACAAATGTAGCTGAATCGTAAGATGGGACCAATTCACTAAAAAGAAACAAAAGGAAAAAAAAAATCAATGACCTTAATTTACAATTTACATTTAGTTAAAAAATAAACTTTAAAAAAAACAGCTTTGTTTGTGGTGGCGCACACCTTTAATCGCAGCACTCAGGAGGCAGAGGCAGGCAGGTCTCTGTGGGTTCGAGGACAGCCTGGTCTATAGAGTAAATTTCAGGACAGGCTCCAAAGCTACAGAGAAACCCTTCCTTTCTTTCTTTCTTTCTTTCTTTCTTTCTTTCTTTCTTTCTTTTTTTTAAAAAAATATTTATTTCTTATGTATACAATATTCTGCCTGCATGTGTGCCTGAAGTCCTGAAGAGGGCACCAGACCTCATTACAGATGGTTGTGAGCCACCATGTGGTTGCCGGGAATTGAACTCAGGACCTTTGAAAGATCAAGCAATGCTCTTAACCTCTGAGCCATCTCTCCAGCCCTCAGAGAAACCCTATCTTGAAAATAAAATAAAAAAATTTTTTAAATAAAGTAAGTTCCTTGGAATTATCTTGAAAACTTGACAGCAGTAGTACCAATAAAATATTTCAAAATCTTGATTAAACAGAGCATTAAATCAAAGCAGTTCATAAACCATAACAAGTTTCTAATTAGAACATTTCCTTCAGCCTATTTACTAGCAAATATCCCCATACGCTTTGGTTATTTTGCTGGAATCCTCAAGCATGTCAGGCAATGACTCAGTCAACTCTATCACTGCGCCATGGCTACCGCTCTCCTACACTTTCATTATAAGATTAGAATATATAATTGAGGGGATAACTGAGATGGGTTAGCACAGTAAGACACTCTTGGAAAGGTAAAATGACATCAAGTAGTCTAAATTCCATATAATCTCCTCTAAAAAGAACTAAACCTAGGAGGAGCTAGAGGATAATATATCTCGCAGCCAACTACCCTTAGACCATGTGGATAGTTTGTGGCACTGTCATTAAAACATCATTTAACATAAAATTGTACTATATACAACATTATAATATGTTGCCATAATTTTGGTATGATTATAAATTGAAAAAATAGACTGAAAATCATTTTTTTAAGATTTATTTATTATGTATACAACATTCTTTCCATGTATGCTTGCATGCCAGAAGAGGGCGCCAGATCTCATTAAAGATGGCTGTGACCCACCATGCGGTTGCTGGGAATTGAACTCAGGACCTCTGGAAGAGCAGTCAGTGCTCTTAGCCTCTGAGCCATCTCTCCAGCCCCTGAAAATCATTTTCACTACATCTTCAGATAGACTATATCTACAGTAATTTGTGATATGCCAGGAGAACATGTTTAGTATAAATAAAATATTCTAAAGTTTATCAAAAGTTGATAAGGCATGCAGCTCTTAGAAGGGAGCAAAGTCTAGCCTCAGTTAAACAGTAAGTTTGAGGTTAGCCTAGGTTATATAAGGCCCTATCCCAAAAACAATAAAAGAGGAAATTATTCATATATCACATATTGTCCAGAGCAAGAAGATGTTACTTTGTCCTGAGTGTTATCCATAGTATCTATCCAAATTGACCTTGTCAAGCACTCCTATAAAATCCCTAGGCAGCTGTTGGCACTTCTTAGAAGACATACATGCCACACCTCTATGTTTCTGTGCCTGATGATTCTTGCCTACTCCTTCATAAGAAGTCAAATACCCAGAGGCCTGCTCTAATGTTTCCCAATTATGTATTCTATCACCCAACATATAAAACCTCAATTAGTGAGACCTATGCATTTAGTACCTGGAAATTTTTTTAAGACACCATAAACTTAATGAGAACTCCAAAAGGATCATCTCAAAAACAGTTTTCAAATTTCAACCAAAAGTAATGTTTTTGGCTATCACCCAAGATAATACATAATCATATGTTGGTCATTTTACCCACCAATTCACTATATCCTCCAAAATGTAAACACTTTAACTATCCTGTTGTCTGATCTATATGCTGTTTCTTTTGTTATGTGCTTATTCCAGTGACATGTGTTGTTTTTGCTGTAAGCCAGATTCAGAGCACAAAAAATTCATCTACTGGAGACTGAGATATTTCTCTATGTCTTAATGGTTTCTATTGCTGTGATAAACATTATGACCAAGAGCAACTTGGGAAAGAGTTTTATTGAGCTTACAATTTTACTCCATCTCTGAGGAAATTCAAGGCAGAAAACTCGGGCAGGAACCTGGAAGGCGGGACTAACGCAGAGGCCATGGGGGGTGCTGCTTATTTTCTTGCTCCCCATGGCTCACTCAGCTTGCTCTTAGGGTGCCTGCCAAGGGGTGGCACCACCCAGTAGCCAAGATCCTCTCATATCAATTATTAACCAAGAAAATGTCCTAAAGAACTGCCTAGAGGCCAATGACAAAGAAAAATTTTCTCAACTTAACTCCCACTTCCCAGCTGTATCTACATGTGTCCTGTTGCCAGAAACCCACCAGCACAGAACATGTGTATGTCTTAATATACAAAGGTCCACACACAAGAAGTGTAACGGGTTAGTGCAATGGAGCTCCAGTGAAGACAGGTTAACCAGCATCGAGCACAGATCTCTCAGCATTGCTTTAGCTTTTCATCAGTTCCCTTATCTGTCCTCCTGAAATGACTCTGGTCCTTATAAACGGATTCACGTCATGGGAGTGTCAATTCATCTGTTTACACAGAATATGGGAAAGTAGTCTCAAACTATCTCTATCCTGGAAATCTGCAAGTAAGATATCTTTAAATGTTTAGATCACTAACTTTATCAGATCACCACAAACAAAGGGAAAGAGGGAACCCAAAGTGCTACATAAAATCTAGTTTCCCTTTCCAACTTGACCACCCCTCCCAGATATCTAAACCTGACTATAGATCGACAATCTCCTCTATCTTTACGTCCTCTCTGAGTTGTTTTCTCATTACAATGCCCAATAATAAACAACGCTTTAAATTCTGGCTGAAATCACTTCCTTGTCTATCCAAGATAAAATTTTCATTCATATACACATAGACCATTCTTTTATGAATTTTGTTTTTCTCAGAGTTTCACATAGTCTAGGATGATCAATCATCCTGTTTCAGTCTCCCAAGTGCTGAAATTTTAAGAGTGTGCACTACCACACTCTATTCTATAAAGTACTGAAAGAAAAACAAACAAACAAAAAGAAGCAAAACAAAACAAAAAACTAAAGCTTCGCGACCAGCCGGTCTCATGACAAGGCTCTTCCAGGACAGATGCAGTGTTGTGCAGCAATTCCCTCCAAGATGGAGATATTACATCTCCCTGGAAACTGCCTTAAAACAGAGTAAATAATTCAAAGTAGCTTCAGGAAGTCCCTGTAACTGAGATTCACTATGCCTCTTCCTTCCAAGAATAAACAACAGAACCTTGAGAGTCACTCTCAGAAAAGCCAAGCTTCCTGGAGAGCAGCAGAGCTGCCTGGAAGAGGTTCAGAGAAAAAAACACCAGGAAAGGACACTGCTCCCTTGAGATTGGCATCAAAAGTAGCTATGAACCATCTGATATGGTGCAGGGAACTCAACTAGGGTCATGTGGATGAAATTCTGCTCCCTTTACCGTCCAGTCATCTCTCTCTTCCCCTGCAACCCTGACAAGTTTTTGTTTGTTTGAAACAGGGTTTCCTCTGTGTAGCTCTGGCTGTCCTGGAACTCACTGTAGACCAGAACATCCTTGAACTCACAGAGGTCCAACTGCTTCTACCTCCTGAGTGCTGGGATTAAAGGCATGCACTACCACCAGTCAATTTTTAAAAGAATCCCAAATGATGGTTATGCTGATAAGAGCCACTTAGTTGGGAGATGGTGTTGCACGCCTTTAATCCCAGCACTCAGGAGGCAGAAGCAGATGGATCTCTGTTTGAGTTTGAGGACAGCTTGGTCAACAGAGTAAGTTTCAGGACAGCCAGGGCTACAACAAAAACAAAACCAACCAACCAAACAAACAAAAAAACCAAACTACTAATCTAAACTGGGTGTAGTGCACGAATTTAATCCTAGCACCCAAGAGGCAGAGGGAGACTAGCCAGCTCTACATAGCAGGTTCTAGACCTGTGAAGACTACACAATAAAACCTTGTCTCTGGGGTAATAATTCATTTTTAATAGTTCAATGACACAGTGCGACTCTACATATGGTGTTGAAAGGAATTTGAAGAATCGACCCAAACTGAAAAATCAAAAAAAGTACCAAGATTGCAAACTTTTTCTTTTCTTTCTTTTTTGTTTTTTGTTTGTTTTTGAGACAGGCTTTTTCTGTGTAACAGTCCTGGCTGTTCTAGAACTCACTTTGTATTCTAGGCTGACCTTGAACTCACAGAGATCTGCCTGCCTCCGCCTCCCAAGTACTGGGATTAAAGATGTGCACCACCAACCAGCTACAAGCTTTTTCTATTAATTGCTTCCTTCCACTTCTTTTAAAATCTGGAGCTACTATGTCACCTTTATAATTTTTTGGTATCCTATCTACTTTTATGTTTTGATTAACAAGATACACATTAATTGAAAAGGCAAATAAAAGAATGACTAGGGCCTTTGAGGGGGCGCAGCAGTAAAGGCCCTTACTGCCAAACCAGACCATCAGAATTCAATTCCTTAGATCAAATGCTGCAAAGTGAGAACAGATTCCCCAAGCTGTCCTCTGGCCCTCAAGAGCACCACAGCATTCAGAAACCACTTCCTACCTACATACAAAGGAAAGAAAGGAAGTGTAGAAAGTAAGATAGTTGTTTTCTATGGAAAATGGAGCTTTGATTAAAGATGTATCTAATTCCCTTTCAGTTTCCCTTTACCATCAAAAGTGTGAGGCCATCACAGTCTTAACGGTTATGCTCTTTCTTTCCACCACGTAGATTCTGGTAAACCAATCCAGGACATGAAGTAAAAGAGCCTTACCCACTGAGCCATCTCAGAGGCCTTTCATTCTGAGATCAGATTTATGAGTTTACCAGATTATATCACTGTAATTATTAACAGTACCTTTAAAGGAGATGGTTAGCTAGTAATGTTAGCACACACCTGTAACCCCAACACTTAGGAGGTGGACATAGGAGAATCAGGAGTTCAAATCCAGCCTCAGTTACTTAGTGAGTTTAATTAAGACTACCCCCAGCTACATGAGACTATTTCTTAAATGAGTTGAGAAAAACAGTTTATTCAGCATCTCTTGAAGTCACTTCCATTCTCCAGAATACTTTCTCATGTTTCCTTAATAAATCTACATTTGATCTGTTTAATAAAAAGAAAAGAAAATGAAAGGAAAAGGAAGAAAAAGAAAAACTAGCATATTCAAGTCCATACCTTTATATATTCAAACTTAAAATGAAAATAAAAATTTAAAACTGTTATACCTGGTAAAGTCTGGTGGGACAGGTGTAGTAACAAAGGACGCCATGGGTTTACGGTGGACTTGCTGGAACATCATTAGGATCTCTGAGCTCTTAGATATCAGCTCGCTCTTACTGCAAGACCGCAACTGCGGGAGGAAAAAACAGTATCTCAACCAACAAAAATATTGTTCAATGACACTTCAAAATTTTTTAATGGGTCAGGTGTAGAAGCCCATACCTCTAACCCCAGAATTTGGGATACAAAGGCAGAAGAATTGTGTGAGTTTTATGCCAGACTGGTCCACACTGCAGTTCCAGGCCAGTCTGGGCCTACATATCAAGATCCAGGTTAGCCAGGCCCACACAGTAAAACCTTCCCCCAAATAAATAAGAGAATTTTAATTAAGAAAAATTGAGGCCAGGTGTGGTGGTGCACATCTTTAATCTTATTCCTTGGAAGATAGAGAAGCAGATATCTGTGAATTCAAGGCTAGCCTAGTCTACATAGTCAGTTTCAGAGCAGCCTGGAAACTAAAGACAGTTGAGAAGAATTAGCCTCTCCGAGGGATGAGCCCCTTAAATGGCTTTCCAATACAAAGTTCAGTCCTGAAGTCAGACACACAAACAACAAAAATGTATCCAACAGAGTGTGTTTTTATATAACAAAGAAAAAGGAGTTACCAAAGTGGGGAATCTTGGGAGTAGAAGGGAAGAGATGTGAGAGAGGATGGAGGAAGCAAAGGAATAGAGGCAAGTGGTTATATTTAATTATAATATAAATTAATTAATTATATTTTAATTAAAATATATTAAAAATAACATTAAAAAAACAGTGAATAATTACAAAGCTTATCTGATTATTTAGTGAAAAAATAGTCAGGCCTTGGTGGTGCATGCCTTTAATCCTTGCACTCAGGAGGCAGATGCAGGCAGATCTCTGTGCCAGCCTGGTCTACAAAAGTGAGTTCCAGGACAGCCAGGACTGTTACACAGAGAAACCCTGTCTTGAAAATCCAAAAAAGAGAAAATAAATAACTTTCAGGAGTAGGGATGTAACGGCTGGTAATAGTTCTTGCCTAGCATGCAAGGAGCCCTAGGTTTAACCCACAGCTGAGCAGAAACTGAGTCTGTTAGCACACACTTGCAATTTCAGCACTTGGGAGGGTAAAGGATTAGAAATTCAATGATATCCTACAGTTCTATGAGGAAACTGAAGTCAGTTTGTGCTTACATGAGACTCTACCTAAAAATAAATAAATATAATAGGAACTAGAGAGTTGGTTCTGTGGGTAAGAGCATTCACTGCTCTTGCAGAAAACCCAGGTTCTGTTCCCAACACCAACATGGTGGTTCACAGTTTTCTATAGCTCCGGTTATAGGAGATCTGGTACTCTCTTCTGGCTTCCTTAGTACCAGACACACATGTGGTACATACACAAGCAGAAATTATCACATACATACAAAATAAATTTAAAGAAAAAAAATTAAATTGCAAAGTGGGTTTGAAAAATTAAGAAACTGCAGAATCTAGGTTTCTTTGCAATTTAGCAACTAAATCACTACATTTATGGGATTTTAATAAAATCTCTATTTTAGGGTTAAGTAAAAAGCAACTGCAAATATATGTTCACACTGATACAGTTAAACTACTTTATATATTAATGAGCAGATACTCCTTTAACAACAAGTATTTCTAATTAAATGTGGCCTCTAGAAATGCTAATGTCATTCACATATATCACAAACAATCTTGTCAGTTCTTGAAATATTAAAGTCAGAGATAAAGAATGAGAAATGTGGGCTAGAGGGTTGGATAGATGGCTCAGAGGTTAAGAACACTGACTCCTCTTCCAGAGGTCATGAGTTCAATTCCCAGCAACCACATGGTGGCTCACAACCATCTATAATGAAATCTGGTGCCCCCTTCTGGTGTCCAAGCATAAATGCAGGCAGAATACTATACATAATAAATAAAGATATATTTAAAAAGAAAGAAAGAAATGTGAGCTAGAGAGATGGCTCAGCACTCAAGAGCCCTTGCTTATCTTGCAAGAGACCTGGGTTTGGCTCCCAGCACCCATATGGTGACTCACAACAACTCATAACTTCACTCCCAAGGATTCTACCTCCCCTTCTAGCCTCTCAAGAACCAGACATGCATGTGGTGCACATACATATACGTAGGCACTCAGACATACATAACATATCAAATAAACCCTTTATAAAAAGGAATGAGAAATCCAATGTAGTAAAATATGTATGGCCATTAAAAGACTATGGATTTTCAATGAAAGAGATATCTTGATAGAGGAAGCCATTAGGGGAAAAACTTGGGGCTAGGGAAACTCCTAGGAATCCACAAGGATAAACCCAGCTAAGACTCCTAGCAATAGTGGATACACAGACTGAACCAGACTGCCTCCTATAATCAGATTAGTGATTACCCTGATAGTCATCACAGAACCTTCATCCAGTAACTGTTAGAAGCAGATGAAGAGATCATCCATGGCCAAGCACTAAGTCAAGCTCTGGAGTGTGTGTGTGTTTGTGTGTGTGTGTGTGTGTGAGGGGGGGGGGGACAGAGACAGAGAGAAGGGATTATATGAACAAGGGTGGGTCAAGATCATGATGGAGAAACCCAGACAGCTGACCTGAGATAGTGGGAGTCCATGCATTCTGGACTGAAAGCTGGGGAGCCTGCAGGGGACCAAACTAGGCCTCTGAATGTGGGTGACAGTTGTGTGCCTTGGTCTTTCTGTGGGGTCACTGGCAGTGTGACCAGAATCTATCTCTGGTGCATGAACTAGTTTTTTAAAGCCAATACCCTTGACGCAGCGATAAGGGGCTTGGTCCTGCCTCAACTTGATATGCCAAGCTATGACTCACCATGGGAGGCCTTACCCTCTCTGAAGTGAGGAGGGAGGGGGAACTGTGATTAATATATAAAATGAATTGAGAAAAAAAAAAGACTATGGATTTTGAATTAAAAAAAACCAGTCTGAAGTTCTAGCACTTTACACTATAATTTGGAATAGTATCTGCCACTGTTTGTTTCAACTGGCTACAAAGATCATGAGGCAGCTTTGCAAAACTATGTATTATTGGCCAGACAGTGGTGGTGCACACCTTTAATCCCAGGACTCTGGTGGCAGAGGCAGGAGGATCTCTGTGAGTTCAAGGCAAGCCTGGTCTACAGAGTGAGTTCCAATACAGCTAGGGCTGTCTAAAAAACAAAGAAAACAAACAAACAAACAAGCAAACAAAAGCCCTGTGTATCATTATGGATTGAAGTATATCTTTTTTCATCTATAATTTTATATGATGTGGGCCCAAACCTCTAGTCCTCAACTGTATATGAAGATGAGCTGATTTAGCTAAAATGAGGTAAGCAGAGCTCTCAGCACACAAATATTTCTGTGAGACCTCAGGAAAAACAAAACCCGATAGCGCTTTGGTCTTGAACTGCCTGAATCTAGAATTATAAGATTTCTGCTGTTCAAGATCCCATTCAGTGGGATTCCGTCATTCCAGCTATAGCAAACAAATACAACTTCAAAGTTCTCTATGGATGACATTCAATTTACCCAAAGGGGCAGGTGCTACAGAATGTCACCAACCTATAGAGCTACTGGAGGAGACAGAACATTTAAGAGGTGATGGCTCAGGTTAAAAGCACTGGCTGTCTTCCAAAGGCCTGGGTCTAATTCCCAGCACCTACATGGCAGTTCACTACTGTAACCCCAATCCCAGGGGATCTGGCATTCTCACAGACATACAAGCAGGCAAAACCCCAAAGTACATAAAGCAAGAAAGAAAGAAGGAAGGAAGGAAAGAAGGAAAGGGTGAAGGCCAATGGATCAAAGTTAGAACATATCTTGAAGGGCATATTAGAACTCTGGCCACTTTCTTCGTTCCCAGTTGCAAGATAAACGTGTTCTTGCATCATGATGTACATACTGCCTTGCTATGACCCCCAAAGCAACAGAGGCGCTGGTCCATGGACCAAACCCTCTGAAACAGTGTGAAAAAAGGACTTTCTTTCTCTTAGTTTGTCAAAGTAACAAAAAGTTAACATAACCCTAGCTGAGATAAACAAGAAAGAGTTATAAAAACTTAACAAAAGAAAGAAAATAAAATTATAGGCCAAAGATTTGAAGAGAACTTCAACAAATATGGATGGCAAGTAAACATAAGAAAAGATTCTCAACACCATCAATCACAGGCAAATAGAAATTACAGCCATAATTAGAAACTTTACAAGAACAACTAAAATTAAGAAGATTTATTTCATGTGCTAGAAGTATTATTAAGTCAAACAATTCTGGTAGGAATAAAAAATGGGCAACTTTAATTCTGAAGACTACAGTTATTTAAAAAATAAAGGGCTGTCAGGCAGCGGTGCATGCCTTTAATCCCAGCACTCGGGAGGCAGAAGTAGGCAGAGCTCTGTGAATTCAAAGTCGCATGGTCTGCAAGAGCTAGTTCCAGGAAAACTAGGGCTATTACACACAGAAACCCTGTCTCAAATAAATATAAATAGATAATAGATAAAGGCCTGTACTTGGGACTGATGGCTCAGCAGTTCCCAACATGCACTATTCTCCCAAAGGACCAGATTCAGTTCCCAGCACCCACAAACACCTGTAGCTCTAGTTCCAGAGGGACCTAACCTCTTTAGGCACACACGCGCATGTGCATACACACACTACACACAAAATTAAAAATGAAACAAAATTATCAAAAATTAAAAATAACTTTTAAAGTTTTTTACTAAAAATTTTTTCAGCCATTTACCATTTGACTCAGCCATCTGTATTAAGTGAACCTAATAAGAAGAGAACTATATACCCATGGGAAGATTTTTACAAGAATGTTCATAGTCACTTCACCAAACAAGCCTTTGTTGTTTACTTTATTTATCTATTTTTTATTTATTATGTACATAGTGTTCTGTCTGTGTGTATGCTTGCACATCAGAAGAGGGTGCCGGATCTCATTACAGATGGCTGTGAGCCACCGTGTGGTTGCTGAAATTGAACTCAGGACCTCCAGAAGAGCAGTCAGTGCTCTTAACCTCTGACCCATCTCTCTAGCCCACCTTTGTAGTTTATAATCTGCCCAAATGAACATAATCAGTTGAATGAAAAAGTAAATGTGATGTTTATCTAAAGAGAACACTAAGCAATAAAAATGAAAGAATTATTGGTGCATTCAGTACTATGAATGAAACCAAAAGTAATTTTTCTGAAAGAGACTAAACATAAAATGAGTGTATGAGAGTTCATTTTTTCATATAATTACAGAAACGAAATTGGGAGCTACATGGAGAGAAGGGAAGATGAACAAAGTAAAAAGATGTATAAAAATAAATATATATGTAAACCATGTAACAGTGATGGCTTTAAAATGCACACATTTGTCAAACGTATCAAATGACATACTTTCAACACATGTGCTATGGTTAACAGCACTTCAGTTGTTTAGAAACAAAATGCATAAATCCTCAGACACTCAGGACACTGCAGCTGCTCTACAATTACCCTGTTACACCTGCACACGGCACCAGATTCCTTGTCAGGGATAAACCAGTCTCTGGACTACTGTGCTGTGTGTGGGACACACTCCTGTAATTTCAGCACTTAGAAGGCTGAGTCAAGGGGATCATGAGAGGGAGACCCTTCTGTGTTACACGGCAAGTTTCAGGATACCATGGGCTTAGGTATCAAGATCCCATCTCAAACAAACAAGAATGAGTACTGAGAAGAAAATAAGAGAACTAAATACTATGCATGTAACAAACCTTACTAGCCAAACTGTCAATCAAGCATAAGGACAAAATATAAATGTTTTCAGACATGCAACAGAAAGTTCATTCTGATTAGCTATCCTGGGAAGCTACTGGAAGTGCAAAACAAAAGCAAATGAATAAACCAAGTCTATAGTAGCCACAGAAACTAAGAAATAAAGATTCAACACAAGAAAAGAAGAAAATTTCCATTAAAGAGACCCCTGGAGGGCAGCTGCACAACAGGTACACAGAAAAACACAAGCATTTCTATCTAGGCCAGTGAGGTGGCTCACTAGTAAAAGTGCTTACCACTCTGACCCAAGTTCAACTATCAGAATCATGTGAACAATCAAACATACACCTACCCCCTCACACACACTACACACACACACACACACACACACACACACACACACCTTTAAAACACAAGCATTAGAAAAAAACAAATTTGAGACAAGTGAATGTAACAGTATTTATGAGATATGTTTTATTTACTCTATTATGCTTATTAACTGACACCAATAAATTTGATGAGGCAAGAATTTTTGCCATTTTGTTCACTGGTATATCCCAAACATCTAAAATGGGGCTGGAGAGTCGTCTCAGCAGTTAAAAAGTGCATACTGCTCTTGCAGAAGTCCAAAGTAAAGTTCTCAGCACCGGCACTGGGTGGCTCACAACCAGCTATAAGTACAGCAGGGGATCTGATGCTCTCTTCTGGCCTCCACAGGAACTGGCACTCACATGCATATACCCACACATATATCTAAAATATTTTTTAAATCTAAAATCATACCTATTATCTAAACACAACAGGTATTTTCTCAATGCTAAGTTTAAGGGAAAAATCAATACATTTAGGTAAATGGCAATAATCATCTATCTTAAAGCTATCACTTACGTCATATGGAAAAATTTTACCTTTTATAAATTTGCAAATGTCTGTGGGCTATTCCCAACGAAAAAGCAATTCTAGCCAGGCCTGGTGGTGGTACATACTTTTAATTCCCAGCACTCAGGAGGCAAAGACAAGCAGATATCTGAGAGTTTGAGGCCAGTCTGGTGTACATAGAAAGTTCCAAGTCTGTAAAAAAAAAAAAAAAAAAAAAAAAAAACCTCCTATTTTCCTATTTTGACATATCATAAACCTTATTTAGAAAGTTTAACAATCAGATAATACCTACTCTATAAAAAAAAAATCCACTACAGCACACAATCTTTTGATGCCATAGTTTCTATCTCCTCCTTTCCCATTACTCCAGCAGAAGGTCTGGGGGAAATTTTTTTTTCCAAGACGGGGTTCTATAAATCAGTTCTATAAATCAGGCTGATCTCAAACTCTCAGAAACCCGCCTACCTCTGCCTCCCAAATCCTGGGATTAAAGGTGTGTGCCACCACCGTCCAGATGAGGGGAATATTTTAAAATAGAGCACAGTATCTTGTCCTGGTATATTAGTTACTTTTCGAATGCTGTTATAAAACACCATGACCAGTGAAACTTAAAAAAGGGAGGGTTTCCTTTGGGGTTTATAGTTCCAGAGAGAGAACAGTCCATCACCAACACGACAGGAAAGCATGACAGCAGGAAGGCCTGGCAATCAGAGCTGGAAGCTGAGGGCTGGGCACTCACATCTCCAATCACAAACAGGAAGCAAACAGAGCAAACAGGGGTGAGAGTGAGGGGTTGGTGGAAGCCTTTAAACCTCAAAGTCCACTGTAAGTCATACACTTACTCCAGTAAGGCCACACCTCCTAAGCCTCCCCAAACACCACTACCAACCAGGGACTAATTCAAATGCCTAATGATATGAGACATCTCATTCAGTTCACCACACCTTGTGATCAAAGCCCTCAGTAAACAAAGGCAAGTGTGCCAAAAGTCTGAGGCCACCTTAAGCCACAGTATGATATCAATGAATGAATCAATCAATGAATGAATCAATGAATACCTACGTAAGTAGATAGGGAGATAGACAGACAGACAGAATAGGGATAAAGAAAAGATAAATATATTATTTTATTGAGATGAAGTCTAGCTACTTACTTTGTGACTAGGATGGCCTCAAAAGTTCTATATAGCATAGGCTGGAATCAAACTCATGATCCTTTTGTCTCAGCCTCCCAGAGATTACAGCTGTATAATCCATGCTCAGCCATGACTATTTCATTCTATTTAATATTTAAGGCTCACTCAGCAGCACATAAACAAATGTATTTCATCACCTGATGCTCTACCTCCTGAAGTAAAGATTCCAACAGCTCTGTTTCTTGAGTAAGAGATGTCTTCTGACCTGTTTAAAAAGAGCAAAAAACAACATTCAGGTTCACTACAGACTTAAGAGTGAGATAGTGTCCTATGAACATATTCAGTTAAGAGACCCACAGCAACTGAGCAAAACTTCATTACTTACCCCAATAACTTTCCTAGAGCTTTAAGAGGCTGAATATAATTGTCTTTTAGGTTTTGAGACAGGATTTCTCTGTGGAACAGCCCTGGCTGTCCTGGAATTCAACTCTGTAGACCAGACTGGTCTTGAACACACAGAGTCACCTGCCTCTGTCTCCCAAGTGCTGGGATTCAAGGTGTGCACCACCACCGCCCAGCAAAATGTAGTATTTTTAAAAGGTAGCTGTGAAAAAGAACATTGGAGGTAACCCTATTTTTAGGCAAAATTCAATTTAGGACTACAAAATTTATCTTAAAAGTTTACAGGGCAGGGGTTAAAGTTTGGTAGAATGCTTGCCTGGCATGCACAAAGCTCTAGGTTAATGCTTATCTGGGTGTAAACCTGGTATGGGGAAATTTTTAATTTCAGAAGCACTCAGGAGATGGAGACAAAAGGATCAAGAATTCAAGGTCATCAGCAGGTAGTACACACCTTTGATCCCAGCACTCAGGAGGCAGAAGTAGGCAGATCTCTGTGAATTTGAGGTCAGCCTGGTCTACTGAGGAAGTCCTGGGACAACCAGGGATACACAGAGAAACCCTGTCTTGGTGTGAGGGGGAGACAAAGTCATCCCATCCCATATACCCAGTGAAAGAAAAACCACAAAGTAAAATAACTTTTCATGATAAAAAAAAAAAGTAATTCAAGCTGGGCAATGTTGATGCACGCCTCTAATCCCAGCTCTTGGAGGCAAAAGCAGGAGGATCTTTAAGTTTGCCTGGTCTACTGAGCAACATTCAGGACAGTCAGGACTACACAGAGGAACCCTGTCTTGAAAAAAACAAAATAAATAAAGAAATAAAACAAAAAATAATTTTAAAAAAACACACAAAGGCAAAGCCAATTATTTAACTGGGAAAAAACCCTAACTCAAGAAGTTGTTCAATTATGACATCAAGAGACCCTGGAGCTGGCTCAATGAGTAAAGTACTAGCTCCAGGAGCATTAGGACCTGGCAAGGACAGCAGTATGTGCCTGTAACTCCAGGGCTGGAGGGTGAAGGGAACTCAGTGATCAGTCAGGACACCCATAACAGCATCCTAGGCTCAGTGATGGATAGAGATACAGTCCCAAAACAATAAGGTGGAGAAACTGGAGAAAGAGCTCAATAGTTAAGAGTATGTACTGCTCTTGGAGAGGACCAAGTTTGGTTCCTAGCACTCTTGTCAGGGCAGTTCACAACTACCAACTCCAGCTCCGGGTGGGGATAATCAAATGCTCACTTCTGGATTCTTTGGGCACCAGCATTAACATGTACAAATATCCACACAAAACTAAAAATAAATAAATCTTTAAAAAGTAAAAAATAATAAAAAGGGGTTGGGAAAGATACCCAAAACTTTAACCTTTAACCACTACATATGCACATCCAAGGTTTTGTATTTACACACACATGCATATACCACAAATACAGACATATATTTCTTAACTAAATTTTAAAAATCTAAACTGCTGATATACTTGATTTTTAGTTGATTAAAGAGGAAAACTTATAAACAAAAGGCAAGACTACATGCAAGCATGCATTTGATAATTATTCAAAATCATATTAAAAGTAAAAAATACTTTAAGTAGCTAATTTGTCTTAATATTATTATTATTTTTTAACCAAACAGGCATAGTGGTGCTTTTAATCCTAGCACTCAGCAGCAGAGAGAAGTGGATCTCATCTCTGAGTTTGAAGCCAGCCTGATCTTCATAGTGAATTCCAGAACAGCCAGAAACTAGTAAGACCGTGTCTCCAAGAAAAAACAGAGAGGTCAATTTTAATCTTTTTTTATTGTGGGAGGTGGGTGCCATTCATGCCACAGCATGTGTATAGCAGTCAGGGGGCAACTTTGGGAGTCAGTTCTCTCCTTCCACCAAGTGGGCTGTGCAAATTGAACTGTTGGGGCCTTTACTGGCTGAGCCATCTTGTCAAATAGGAGTTTTTTCTTTTTTGGAAGGACATGGTGACAAAACAGGTTTTTCTCTGTGTAGTTCTAGCTGTTCTGGGACTCACCAAGATCTTCCTGCCTCTGCATCCTGAGTGCTGGGATCAAAGGTATGTGACACCACTGCCTGGCAGGAATCTTTTTTTAATTGTGTGTGTGGGGGGGTGTGGGTATGTGTGTGTGGCGGTGTGTATGTGTGTGTGTGTGTAATGTGTGCCATGTGTAATGTGTATTCTGAGGATTACTATGTATGTAGAGTTGGTTCTCCCCTTCTACTTCTTTTGCTTTTGCTTTTTCAAGACAGGGTTTCTCTGTGTAACTTGAGAGTCTGTTCTGGAATTTGCTTTGTAAACCAGGCTGGCCTCAACGCGAGACCCACCTGTCTATGCCTCCCGAGTGCTGAGATTAAAGGCGTGCGTCACCACCGCCTGGCCCCCTTCTACTTCTATGCGGATTCATGGGCTTGAACTCAGGTCAGCAGACTTGCATAACAAGCTCTTCATCAAGAGTCGTCTTCCCAGCTGGTTTTACTTTATAAAAAGGCTTTCATGGTGTAGCCTAGAGGGGTCCTCATGAACCACCTGCCCCAGTCCCTTGAATGCTACAACTGATTGCAGGTATGTATCAACATCGTTAAAGACTCATTTTCAAGTCTTGCTGAGCGTGGTAACCCACACCAGCGATGGCAGTTAGAAGGTAAAGCAAAGAGGTCAACCTGGGCTAAAAAGTGAATATGAAAAACCAGCCTGGACCATTCAGTGAGACCCTGTCTCAAAACAAGGTAAACTGACAAAATATAATATAAAAGCTCCAATTTAAACTTCAGCCCTGTGTGGTCTGTTAAAGGTAAAGAGTTGTTTTTTTGTTTGTTTGTTTGTTTGTAAGGCAGGGTTTTATATACCCCAGACCAGCTTTGAACTAACTATATAGGAAAGCACATGACCTCAAACAGACCTGGTCTTCCTGCTTCCAATTCACAACTTTTGGAATACAGGCATGTGTCACCTCTCCTAGTTCCAAACAGATCTAGAAGCCTGAAAAAAGTAGAACTAATTCATGCACATGACTGACTGCAGCTGTGGACCTAAGCGCACTCTGATTTTCTCTTGCAGATTTCTTCTAATTGCTCCACTGGGTGAATGAACAGTATCATTCAATCTAAAAGAATACACACACACACACACACACACACACACACACAGAGAGAGAGAGAGAGAGAGAGAGAGAGAGAGAGAGAGAGAGAGAGAGAGAGAGGGGAAAGAGACAGGGTTTCTCTGTGTAACTGTCCTGGCTGTTTTGGAACTCATTTTGTAGACCAGACTGACCTCAAACTCAGAAATCAGACTGCCTCTGCCTCCCAAGTTCTGGGAAATAAAGGTGTGCACCACCATGCCAAGCCTAAACAATATATTTTAAAACTACCACTTTTTAAAAAATAAAAAACAATCTGAAGTCAGATTGTATAAATTAATAATATGAAAACAACCATGAACTAAGGCAGGAATACCCAAACTGAAAGATACAATGAAAACCTTGGGAAAGAACAGAGCATAAAATATTGCTATACCTTATTAAGGATTATATATATCATTTTGAGTCATAATAAAAATTATAAAGCTAGTTGTATCAGTAAAACACTGCATAATTTAAGATTACAGTTTAAGCCAGTTCTAGACCAGATTGGTTGAGGTTACACAATGAGAGTCTATCTTTAAAAAGATAAATGAACAAACTAACAATAATCAAAAAAAAAAAAAAAAACAACCCAAGAAGAATGAAAAAACCTTTGAAGAACCCAAAGAGTAAGCAATATGATTAAATATAATTTATATTTAAGGTAAGATCTACGTAAAATCAAACACCTTGAATTTAAAACTCTCAGAAAAAGCTAAGATGGCTCATATTTACAAACATCAGCATTTCACTCTTTCCTTTCCCCAAGACAGTGTCTCTCTGTGTAGCTCTGGCTATCACAGAACTCACTCTGTAGACCTCGAGCTCATAGAGATCCACCTGCCTCTACCTCCTGAGTGCTGGGATTAAAAGTGTACGCCACCACCACCCAGCTTAGTATTTCACCTTTTTTTGTTTCTCTGTAGCTTTGGAGCCTGTCCTGGAACTAGCTCTTGTAGACCAGGCTGGCCTCGAACTCACAGAGATCCGCCTGCCTCTGCCTCCCAAGTGCTGGGATTAAAGTCAACAACACCCAACAGTATTTCACTTTCAATGAAGACAGAATAAAAGGAAAAGAGACATTGATAGTGATTTTTTTTTCTTAGTTATAGAAGAAAAAAAGCTACCTATTCACTGAGGTTCACAGACTATCTAGGATTCTCATATAGTGCCTATGAAAAAGTTTTCTCTTTGATAATTTCTCAATAGAAGTCAGATTTGTAGTCCAGATTATACAGCATGGAGCTGCCTAAAATCTTAAGATTCCTTTTAGTCCTAACAACTCATCAATTTACTCCTAAAGACTGCGGCACAAACAAGGTCAGGGTACCAGGCTCTCCAGCAGACTAAAGTACTCACCCATGAGCGTTATGAGCTTATTCTTCAACTGCGTATCTAACCGTGCAATCATCATCTCCACTGCATTCCTAATTTCCCGAACACGCTCGTCCTTTGCATTTCTTACAGCTTCTACGTTTCTTTCCTGGAAGATAAACAAGAACATAACGCAAACATTGTGATTACTCTTAAAATCCATTAATTACTTTTTTAAAATTCATAGCCAAAATTTTAATTGTTTGTACTGCACAGGTAAAGATGCTTTAAAAAAAAATCCATAAATTTGGGGTCAGAAAGTTGGCCTGGGAGGTGAAGATGATTGTCACCCACCCTGACAACCTGAACACAATACCTAGAATCTACATGGTAGAGAAAAAAACAATTCCTTCAAGATGTCCTCTGACTTCCGAACACAGGTCATAGTAGGTAGTAGGGGCACGTACAAACGTACACGCACGCACACACAGACACGCACACAAGCACACAGACACACAGACACACACACACACACAGAGCCATGGCGGCTCATAACCAACTATAACTCTAGTTCCAAGAAATCCAAAGCCTACTTCTGAACTCCAAGGGCACCAGGCATGCATATGGTGCACACACAAACACAAAGGCAAAACATTCATACACATAAAACAAAAAAATAAATCAAAAAGAATAAATGTTTTAAAATACTTCACTAACTAGAAGCAGAATCCTCCCAAAAGCTGGGGATTGAAAAACTGAATGATTACAAAGTCAATACTGGGGCTGGGTAGATGGCTCAGTTAATAAAGTGCTTGCTATGTGAGTATGTGAACCTAAGTTTGACTACCAGCATCCACATTCAAAAGTCAGTGCTGTGGAGGCAAAGAAGGGGAGGGGGTTCTCTAAGGTTTGCTGGCCCACCAGCCTCGACTAATTGTTGACTACAAATTTGCAGCAAGAGACCCTGAGGAATGATACCCAAGGATGACCCAGGCCTTTGCATGCACCACTACCCCAGCAAACACAGTGTCAATAATAGCACTACTTAGACATCAATTTACCCAATAACAAGTAGATTTTTCTAATTCGCTACTGATTCTCTATCTCTAAAGAACAATTCCTGGGTTAGAGAATTGGCTCAGAACCTTAAGGGAGTTGCTGTGCAATCCTGACAACCTAAGTTCACTCCCCAGAATCCACAAAGTTGTCCTCTGACCTCCATATGTGCACCATAGCAAAAGTACGCCCACACAGTTACACATACACACAATAATAAGAAAAAATACATTTGATCTTGAAAGAAAGAAGTAAAAAGGCAATTCTAAGGCTCCAACTGATCCCTATATGCCAGAGTGATGGGTACAAATTCTTCTACTGTTTGAAGCTGACTGAGACTTGAGGTTTATTGTCCCATCAATCTTTGAACTTTGAAAATCTTGACATCTAAGTTATATGACTCTCATGTAACATATAAACTATATGACTTTCAACATATAAATTATATAATATACATTATAGAATCAAAAAAGGTTATCAATCTCATGTAAAAGTAATCTTACCACTTCTTGAACTAAGCTGATCAGTTCCATGAGACGCCGACGAAGTTTGGCTACCTCTTCATTCACTTTAGTGACATGCTGTTCATAAATTTCTGCCAAAGGTTTAAACGTGTGTCCACCATGCTACAGAAGTCAATATGAGTAGTGTCAGGAGGTTTCATGCACTCCAGCTACATTTACATTTCTCTTTAGCATTCTATGGACAACAATCAACTAGTAAATATTTTCAAATGAATTTCATCTTTTATATCACCATTATTTTCTTAACAAAAGCCAGTGCTCCCAAAAACTTACCTAGAAAAATGTAGCAAATCCATCAAAAATCTAAATACTAGACAGTCATGGCAAAACATACCTTCAATCCCACCACATGGGAGACAAAGAATCTCTGAGTTCAAGGCTAGCCTGGTCTACAAAGAGTTCTAGGACAGCCCACAGAGAAACCCTGTCAGGTGTATCTTGTTTAACAAAAGCATCCCACCATGGTCTTTGATGTGTAAATTCAAAAAAATTGTGAATTTGTTTTGTTTTGTATTTATATGTATGAAGCCTTTACCTGAATGTCTATGTATGTATACTACATGTACACCTGGTACCCACAGAGATCAGAAGATGCCCTGGAACTGGAGTTATAGATGGTTATATAGATGAAGTTATGGATGGTTATAAGCCATCATGTAGGACTGGAAATTGAACCCAGGTCCTCTGCAAGAGCAACAAGTGTTCTAAACTGTTGAACCAACTATTCAGCTATATGATGTGGATTTTTTTTTTTCCATCAAGACAGAGTTTCTCTGTTATCGAAACCGACTTGCTCCCAGGGTTTGGTTAGGTTGCCTCAGAGTAGCGAAAGGGGTCTCAGGACAGCTCTAACCTGAGGAAAAGACTCACATGTTTGGAGCTCCAGTCATGTCTCTTTATAGTTCTGCTTTAATTTCTTAGTTCTAATTCTCTATCTTAACTCCTATTCCAATTCTAATTCTCTGTTACAAATGTCTGTTCCAATTCATTCTTGTTGTAATTACACTCTTTTCTTCATTTTCCTAAATTTTTCTTTCCTTCTACATTCTTTACTCTTCCAATCTTATTAATTCCCAATCTTATTTCTTATGCTGTTCCAATTCCCAAGCATGTGTACGTGTGTGTGTGCTTGTGTGTGTGTGTACGTGTGTGTGTGTGTTAACATTCACTCATTAACAACTTGTTAGTAATAAAAAAACTACAAGGAAAATTCTCAGGGCACAGGCATTCTTTGAAGATATGTAGCACAACTTAATCAACTGGTTTGTAGCTCACCACAGCTGCAGCCACGAGGAGCTCTCAGTCACCTCTTAAAGGGCCGCTACCACGGCTAAAAAGGGAAGAAACTAAACCAATGAAGAGACCTAAGGAAGAGGCAAAGAATTTGTGTACTATTTTATATTTCTTAAGTGTGGTTAAAAAATAATATCTGGACACGATTAATCAGGTGCTATTAATTTCTTGAGGGACTACGATATAACAACACCTGCAATACCGCCCTAGTTCACTATAAATCTCTGAAGGACTTATACACTGCAGGGGAGCATGTTATCAAACAAAAGAATCTGCAGTTAGAGACAGCCAGCTATTCAAAAGGCAGTATTTTTCACGAGCCATGCCTACTTGAATTCAACCTCCATCAGATGTGTAAATCTCTGTTGGGTTGGCCTTCTAAATGTCAACTGATCTGTTGAGTAACCTTGCAGATCCCACGACTCTATGTAGCCCTGGCTGTCCTGAAACTCACTTTGTAGACTAGGCTGGCCTTGAATTCAGAGATTCACCTATCTTTGCCTCCTGAGTTCTGGGATTAAAGGCATATGCCATCACTCCCAGCTGATGTGGTTTTTTAAAAAAATTTATTTATTTATTACATGTATAGTGTTCTTTCTGTATGCCAGAAGAGGACACAAGATCTCACTGTAGATGGTTGTGAGCCACCATGTGGTTGCTGGGAACTGAACTCATGGAAGAGCAGTCGGTGCTCTTAACCTCTGAGCCATCTCTCCAGCCCTGATATGAATATTTTTAAATGTTGATTCTGAGGATGTCTCTTGAGCCTCTTATAAAACTAGCTTAGACAACAAACTGCGGCATTTAAATATTTTCCAGTCAGTACATAAGAATTCAAACTCAGACAAAGCTCTTTAGACTGAGCATTACTCAACCAGCTCACACTGACATGTTCTCCGTAAAACACACAGCCTAATAGCCACACAATGATCAAGTCCCAGAATTAACATGAGAGTTAGGCAATAACTGATGTAGATAAGCTTTTACTTCCCCACTAAGAATCTATTGTTTTAGTCTAGGGTTAGAATCCAATGATAGAACACTTTTTCTAGCATATGGGAGGTTCTGAATCTCCAACACGGACAAAACCAGAAACTCTTATTGTGTTCAATCTCAAACTATGTATGCTGTTGTACTAAATATAAATTATTTAATTGAATATTAAGTAACGGAACACAGATATTAAGCAAAAGCTGCTTCTAGGAAGGCTACTATGAATGCCTCAGACTTGATAAAGGTAGGTTGTTATTTTAGCCAAAATAAAGACATCTTGATTTTTGCAGGCAAATGGATGGAGCTAGAAAACATATTGATTGAGGTAACCCAGATACAGAAAGACAATTATCACATGTACTTACTCATAAGTGATTTTTAGACAAAAAGCAAAGAAAATCAGCCCACAAATCACAATCCCAGAGAACCCAGACAACAATGAGGACCCTAAGAGACATACATGGATCTAATTTACATGGGAAGTACAAAAAGACAAGATCTCCTGAGTAAATTGGGAGCATGGGGACCTTGGGAGAGGGTTGAAGGGGAGAGGAAAGGCAGGGAGGGGAGCAGAGAAAAATGTAGAGCTCAATAAAAATAAAAAAAAAATTTTAGACAGACACTATATACATATAATTTCAGGACTAGGGAAGCTGAAGCAGAAAAACTTGAAGTTTAAGGCTAGTGTCTATCCTACATAGTGAGATCCAGTCTCAAAAAAAAAAAAAAAATCAAACATCTTTTAAGCCAAGGAGAAGACTGCATGCTGGTAGTCCCACCTCTGCATGGAGGCTAAAGTGGGAGGATGCAATAACCCTGGAACAGTGAGGGCCTCTGAACAAGATTAGAAAAAGAAACTAAAAAATAAAAATGTTAGATAATATAGCTATTTGCACTCACATTACTTCAGAAGCATCTAAAGTGTAAAGATCAACTGACCAGTACCCATATCAAAGACACTGGTCCTGGCTTGAGGATGTAACTTACTGACATGGCACTGACCCAGCAAGCATAAGCTCTGGGTTCAATTGCCAACATCACAAAAAAAGGAAGGAGGAAAGAGGGAAGGAGAAAAATAAAAGTTAAATGTGAACATATATTCTATAGACATTAAGCTATGAAAGCAGTATCCATCCTATATCAACACTCCTAAACAAAAAGCATCTTCTGGAACAGCAGAAGGTACAATACCTCTAAAATGCATAAAACAGAACGTTTTTCACCCAACAAAGTAAAATGATGCTTTATTCCATCTAATCAACTAATTGTACCAATGTCTTCTAGTATCTAAACCAAAGGGTATATGCTGAATTTGTTCTGCTCACCATTCCTCCCCAAAGTGCACACTGATGGCAGATACACTTCTTACAAGTCCAGCAAAATACACTGAGTTTTTCATGGTGATTTTCACATCTATACAATATAAAAAGAAAAGTTAAAACTGAAATATAATTTTCAAGAAACTTCTAAGCTAAAGCAAACAGATCTCTCAATTTGAAATGGTTAAAGCATCATAAAAAAGGTAAAATGCATTCAACAGCTTCAAAGAATTAGGTTAAATTACACATGAACAAAATTGTTAAAGTACTTTTTTCATTAATCTAAACCTTAAACAAGCAAATTGCAGATTTCTTTCTAAGTAAAATACATGCACCACTTCCTTTTATCACTATATACAATAAATGCTATTCCACTACTGCTTAATAAAAAGACTTATATTAATCTTTTGACAAAAGCACATGTATGTATATGTACACGTACTTTTCATACAACTTATTATGGGATAATGCTTCTGTACACTGTAAAGATCTGTCTCTAGTATTGGTTTAATAAAATGCTGATTGGCCAGTAGTCAGGCAGGAAGTATAGGGATAGCAACCAGACTAAGAGAATTAGGGGAAGAGGAAAGGCAGAGTCACAGTCACCAGTCAGACGCATAGGAAGCAAGACAAGAACGCCTTACTGATAAAAGGTACCAAGTCATGTGGCTAAATATACACAAGAATTATGGGTTAATTTAAGTTGTAAGAGCTAATTAATAATAAACCTAAGCTAATAGGCCAAATAGTTTATAATTAATATAAACGCCGGTGTGTTTCTTTGGGACTGAACTGCTGTGGGACCAGATGAGACGGAAACAACGAAGTTCAATTCTGTGACACACATAACTGTGCTCTCCCCAAAATTCTTACAATGAGGTCTTAACCATCAAAGTGACTTAGTAAGAAGGCAGCCATGTATGAGTCAAGGATAGACACTTCACGAGAAACCAGCCTTTCATCAAGCACCTTGATCTTGGATTTCCTGTCTCTAAAACTACAGAAGGGAAAAAAAAATCCCACTGTTTAAACCACCCAGTCACCAACCATATTAATATAGATACTTACTTTACCTGATAAATAAAATAACCCAAGATCTGTAATACACATGGGAAGCTAAGGCTTAAAATTAACAAAACAAAAGATTGCCAGATTAGGAAACTGTGGGACATTTATTCCTTTTATGAGAGGCACTAACGAAAAAAAGTAAAAGCCCAACAAAAAGGACTTTTCTAAACATTGATATCTCATCAACCCACAGGGAAAAATGTTCAAGAAGTCACTGATGAGCTGTGCTATTATACTTAAATTACTCTTTTTGGTATGACCACCATAATGCTGAATAAACAGCCTTAACAGTTCAGTTTAGTAAGCCAGGCACGGTGGTGCACGCTCCAATCCCAGCACTCAGGAGGGAGAGGCAGGCAGAGCTCTGTGAAGTCCCGGACAGCCACACAGAGAAATGCTGTCTCAAAAAACAAAATCAGGGAAAAAAAAAAAGCGCAGTTTAGCTAGAACAGTAGTAGAATAATACTCAGTTTTATATAATTATGGACTCGTTTAGCATCAACCGAGCAAAGTGGCACAAACCTGTAATCTCTATACCGGAGAGTACAGTATAGAGAGACTGAAGCGGAAGAAAGGCTAACCTATAAAGTGATTTAAAGGTCAATCTGGGATACAAAGCAAAAGCTGGCACACGTGAACACACACACACACACACACACACACACACACACACACACATTCACACACAAAACCAAGAACAATCCAGTTCAATATCCTCCCATTCCTGTGGTCACTTACTTTGCTTCTTTAAAAAAAAAAAAAATATATTACTTTTTATTAGTTTAAATTATGTGTACATGTATCTGTTTGTGGGTATGTTAAGTGCAGGTGCCCATGGAAGAGAGGCACTGGATTCCCCTAGAGCTGGTATTACAGGGAGTTATGAGCCACATAACATGAGTGATGGGATGTATACTGCAAGAGCAGTATACACACTCTTCACGACTGACTCAATTCTCTAGCCCCCATGCTTTTATTTCTATATAATAGTAATGATAACAATAATAATAATGCTAAATTTGTTTAACATACTATTTATAGTTATTTTTTAAAATTTAACATTCCTGAAATCTCTAACTTTCTATTTTTGATCTGTTTCTAATTACCCTAATACAGGCATGACTGATATCTGTAACATGCAATATAATGCCTCATTCTTTTTTATCCAAAATTTGCTTCCACTATACTTCCTTTTTTAAAAACATCTATTTATTTATTATATATACAGTGTTCTGCCTGAATGTATGAATACAGGTCAGAAGAGGGCAACAGATCTCATTACAGACGGTTTGAAGCCACCATGTGGTTGCTGGGAATTGAACTCAGGACCTTTGGAAGAACAGGCAGTGCCCTTAACCACTGAGCCATCTCTCCAGCCCCCCACTGTACTTTCAAACAAGCCCATACCATTGTATTATTGCTGTTTTCCCGTTAATCAGTTAAATAGAAATCATCTATTCATTTGCCTTTGTACCTACTAATATAGCGCAGTACTTTGTGCTTCTCTGTGGGTGAGTGGTCATGAAATAAATACAGAAGCAATCTATAAAGAAAAACTTTAGATATTAAGCAACAAATGAAAGAATTTAAAAGGTTAGCATTAACTTTCTCACTTATAGATAAAAGAAAATTATCAATACAGCGTCATTAGACCTTCAAGTCAGGGAGCACTTTCACATGCATGTGACCCTAGATTCAATTCCCAGTACAAACACAGGTACACACACAAGTCAATCATTTAAACATATGCATACGGATACATAAAGTGTCAATAAAACTGCTGTGTACAGATAATACTCTTGTACACTGTGAAGATTTGTCACTCGTGTTAGTTTAGTAATACAATGATTGGCCAGAAGCCAGGCAGGAAGTATAGAAGGGATGACAAGACTAACACATTTCTGGGAAGAGGAAAGCACAGATGCAGTCACCAACCAGATGCAGAGGAAGCAAGATGAGAATGCCTTGCTGAGAAAAGTACCAACCCATGTGTTTATACATAGATAAGAATTATGGTTTAAGTTGTAAGAGCTAGTTAATAACAAGCCTGAGCTAAAAGATCAAACAGTTTATAATTAATTTAAGCCTCTGTGTGTTTCTTTGGGAATGAATGGCTCCAGGAGGGAGCGGGACAGAAACTTCTGTCTAGAAAACAGCACATGGCATAGCGTATTAACTGCTGAACAAAAGACCAAGCACGTACTTGTCCTTCTCATTTTCTTCGTGTTTGGTAAGACTGCACAGTTGGAGAGTATCAAGCTGCTGTGTCACTTCTTCTGCCCAGCGACAATTCACTAGTTCCCGTAGTTGGAGTGGAGCACTGAAAAGAAAATCCATACACATGTAAGTTCTAGCTCAGACAAGCAAGATTTTTCTAAAATAAGTATTCCTCAAAAGACACCACAATATTATTAAAACAGTAAGAAAAGCCAAGTATGGAAAAGCACATCTGTAATCTTACCACCAAGGGTACAGAACTGAAGAGTTTAAGGCCCATTTGAGTGAACTAAGAAGTTATTATTTAATATAAATACAATAAATAGTAATATAAATATATATTTATATAATGTATATATTCTGTTACATAATAATAATACATGTAAATAATAATGTGTAGCTTGGGCTACACAGGGAGGTTCTGTATCAAAAAAGCAAAGAGGCAATGAAAAGTATGTTTTGTAATTTATTTTTCTCATATTCATACATCACACACACAACAAGCTGCACCAACCAAACAATAACAACGATAATTTAAATTATAACTTTTTAATTTATTGGACTGTATAAAATGATAGCCATGGGCCTGGAATATAGTTCAGGAGCAGCATATAAATGCTATTAGTATAAGTTACTTCCTGAGTTCAAGCCGTAGACCACCAAAACAACAAGAAATTAATGGCAATAACTGGCCAAATGTGGCTATTTCATTTAAAAAAAAAAAAAAAAAAAGATGGGCCAGTTACTTGTGGTGTACACCTTTAATCCCAGCACTTAGAGGGCAGAGGCAAGCAGATCTCTGTGAATTTGAGGCCAGCCCTGTCTACAGAGCGAGTTCCAGGACAGCCAGGACAGTTATACAAGAAACCTTCTCCCAAGCACCAAACCAAAAAGTGAACAACAAAAAAAATGTCTAATATGACAACACTCAGGAATTTGAGGCAAGAGGAAGAGTTCAAAGCTTACCTGGGCGACAAAGCAAGATTGTCTCAATAAAAAAATAAAATGTTATTACGAATCACATTAGACACAACTGAAGTGCTCCATAGGCACATAAAGCTGGTAGCCACACTGGAATGTATGTAGTAGAGTACAATCACTACAGCAAATTCTAGTTTATAGTGCTCTTCGCATAAACTAATATGGCACTGTTGACTAAATAATTAGAAAATGTCTCTCAATATGAACACCATCCTATAGAGTTATCAAACACATTTAAATAACTTACACACACACCATCAGTGAAATATTCCCACTGACTTTAGGAGGGGGAAAAACTCAATTATAAATCTAGGTATGTTTGAATAATTGATTTTTTACAAAGAAGCAAAAACTATCAAATGGAAAAAAGAAAGTATATTCAACAAATGGTGCTGGCATAACTGGATATCAACATGTAGAAGAATGAAAATAGGGGGCTGGAGAGATGGCTCAGTGGTTAAGAGCAATGCCTGCTCTTCCAAAGGTCCTGAGTTCAATTCCCGGCAACCACATGGTGGCTCACGACCATCTGTAATGGGGTCTGGTGCCCTCTTCTAGCCTGCAGACATACACACAGACAGAATATTGTATACATGATAAATAAATAAATAAATAAATAAATAAGAATGAAAATAGACCCATATCTATCATCATACACAAAACTCAAGTCCAAATGGATCAAAGACCTCAACTTAAAGCTAGCCACACTGAATCTCATGGAAGAGAAAGTGAGAAGTACACTTGAACGCATTGGCACAGGAGACCACTTCCTAAATATAACCCCAACAGCACAGACACTGAGAGAAACAATTAATAAATGGGACCTCTGAAACTGAAAAACTTCTATAAAACAAAGGACACGGTCAACAAGACAAAACAACAGCCTACAGAATGGGAAAAGATCTTCACCAACCCCCATCAGACTGAGGTCTGATCTCTAAAATACACAAAGAACTCAAGAAATTGGTCATCAAAAAAACAAATAATCCAATAGAAAAAAAGGTGTACAGACCTAAACAGAGAACTCTCAACAGAGGAATCTAAAATGGCTGAAAGACACTTAAGGAAATGCTCAACATTCTTAGTCAACAGAGAAATGCAAATCAAAACAACTCTGAGATTCCATCTTACACCTGTAAGAATGCCCAAAATCAAAATCACTGATGACAACTTATGCTGGAGAGGTTGTGAAATAAAGGGAACACTTCTGCATTGCTGGTGGGAATGCAAGCTGGTACAACCCCTTTGGATGTCAGTGTGGTGATTTCTCAGAAAATTAGGAAACAACCTTCCTCAAGACCCAGCAATACCACTTTTAGGTATATAGTCAAAGGATGCTCAATCATGCTACAAGGACATGTGCTCAACTATGTTCATAGCAGCAGCATTGTTTGCCATAGTCAGAACCTGGAAACAATCTAAATGCCCTTGATGGAAGAATGAATAAGGAAAATGTGGTACATTACACAATGGAGTACTACACAGTAGAAAAAAAATGACATCTTGCAATTTGCAGGCAAATGGATGGAGGTAGAAAACATCATATTGAGTGAGGTAACCCCCCAGAAAGACAATTATCACATGTACTCACCCATATGTGGTTTTTAGACATAAAGTAAAGAAAACCAGCCTACAATTCACAACCCCAGAGAACTTAGATAACAATGAGGACTCTAAGAGAGACATACATGGATCTAATCTACATGGGAAGTAGAAAAAGATAAGATCTCCTGAGTAAATTGGGAGCATGGGGACCATGAGAGAAGGTTGAAAGAGAGGCGAGAGGCAGGGAGGGGAGCAGAGAAAATGTAGAGCTCACTAAAAATCAGTAAAATAAATAAATAAATAAACAAACAAACCTAAGTATGGAGCACACTCCTGTAAATTCTATCACTACAGAACATGGTTGCCAAGACGTCAAGTACCCTTACAGGTAGAGGTCAGACTGGGGTACACGAGAACCCATCCTGAAGAGTAAACAAATGACAAGCAAGAGAATCACAAACAGCAAGAACTATATTTGTCTGGTTTAAGAAAAGGTATATAACTTTCAGGTGATGGTGGTTTATGCCTTAATCCCTGCAGTCAGGATGCAAAGACAGGTGGGTCTCTGTGAGTTCGAAGACAGCCTGGTCTACTAAGCAAGTTAGTTCTAGGACAGTCAGAGTGACACAAAGAGACCCTGTCCCAAAACTACAAAAAGACAGAAAAAAGAAAAGGTATGTAAGAATATACACCACCACTGGCATATAAAGAGAGCATGCCTGTCCATTTCTTCTGAAAGTGTTTTTTTCCACTTGATAAGGTCTCACACTATAGTCAAGCTGACCCCAAATGCATAGCAAAACTCCTGCCTCCAGAGTTCTAGGATCACAGGTTGAGCTACCAAGCTTGGCTTACATTTTTTTTGTTTAAATTAAAAAGTTAAGAAGGTCGGGCAGTGGTGGCACACGCCTTTAATTCCAGCACTTGGGAGGCAGAGGCAGGAGGTTCTCTGTGAGTTCGAGGCCAGCCTGGTCAACAAAATGAGTTCCAGGACAGCCAGTGCAGTTACACAGAGAAATCCTGTCTGGAAAGAAAAAAAAATGTTAAGCTACACAATCACTACACAACACATAAAATGTAGCCAGGGATCCAGTTCCTGCACTTCTGCTTCTAAGTCTACTCATCATCTTCTATTCAGCTTTATCCCTAAGGAAGAAATGTGGGAAACTGCAGGGATGGAGGGGAGGGGAGAGTTTGCATTTATGCACCCCAGGGCATCCTCTTTTACCATTTTCCATATCTGCAAACAGCAAAGCACTCACCGACAATGAGGACACTGAGCTCTCTGCTCTGTCAGCCAGCGCTGAGGAGGCAAAAGAATTAAAGTTTGATTATAAAAACATCATTACTTTATATATCTAATCATTATAAACTACATTTAATGAGTTTAACTCTCTAGTGCCTAAATTTATCTTGGAGATACAGAAATAACAGGCAATCTACTACCCATCATTACCATCACAGGAACAAATTTTCAAAGGGATAGAATTTATCCCAAAATAGTTCAGAGGCTACTCTCCCAAAGGAAAGCAAGGGATTCTAGGGCTAGCTATAACTCACGAAGATGTAGTCTTTATAATAACGCCATCACTCCGCTCTCAAAAGTAAGCTGCAGTGATTTCTTTTTATATAACTAATTACAAACCACGAAGTTTAAGGTAGTACCAAATTTAGTTTGTAAAAAGCAAACTAATTATAAGGTACACATTATGGGCATGTAAATCAGTTCTAAAAACATAAGTAAGCACTATGGCTGGGAGGCAGAGGTAAGTGGATCTCTGTGAGTTCGCTAATTCTAGGACAGCCAGAGCTACACACAAAGAAACCCTATCTTGGAGGGAAAAAAAAAAGTCACTGGTGTCCAAGGTTAACAGTCTGAATAACAGGCAAAACAAAAGACAAAAAGACATCAGGGTCAGTTTGAAAAAAATAACATAGCTGGGCGGCAGTGGTGCATGCCTTTAATCCTAGCACTTGAGAGGCAGAGGCAAGTGGATCTCTGGGAATTCGAAGCCAGCCTGGTCTACAAATCCGAGTTCCAGGACAGTCAGGGCTGTTACACAGAAAAACCCTTTCTTGAAACCACCCCCCTCAAAAAAAAAAAAAAAATAGAAAAAGAAAAGAAAAAAATTATCCTAAGTAAGTTCAAGATTCTGGAACGAAATGAAGTAAGACATCTTAAAAGTCAATGCTGTGTTAAAAACATTGCTTCGTGGTAAAGTGCTTGCTGGTCACCATGTTTAGCAACACCCCACACAAAAATAAATAAAACCAATGCTAAAGGACTAGATCCAGGACCCATATATAGATGATAGCTAGAGCTGCAAAAGTAAATCCAGTATCTCACAGTAAGTAAATGCATTTAGAAAGAAGGAAGAGGAAAAGGTAACAAAGAACTGGCAAGGTCAACACAATCCCCAGAGGTCACAGGCACTTTCAAAACTTTCAAGCACTCCCAAGCCCTTAATCAAAGAAATTCAGTCTAGATAGACGCCACCAAGCTTTCACCATAGTGATGGAGAGCAATCCATCTCTGTAGCTGCATTTCATAATTTAAAAGACCATGTACACTGGATGATAAACTACTAGAACAAAACTTCACAAGAGGGTAATATTTTCTAACTTCTCAATTATCTTTTCACTTATTTCCCAACTAGTCATTTGGCAGATTATTCACCTAAATCCTACAGCTAAGGAAACAACACTAAGAAAGATTAAGTTTCCCCATTTACCAATGTGACAACCAGTTTCATATGTTGAACTCTAAAACAAACTTAATTAAATTAAGTTAATCTTAAAAAGATTCAATGCAGCTCCAATATCTGCTAGTCCTGTGACTAGAAGAAAATCATTTGAATGCTATAGAGATTACTCTAGACAAAGGGACATTTTTCTCTTTTTCTTTTTCTTTGTGTGCTTGTGAAGGTTTGGACACCCTGAACTAGCTGGTCCTCTTCTTACACTGTAGAACTAACTCGAATCGCCAGGCTTAGAAACAAGTAGTTGACTTACTAAGTACTAAATCACCTTGTCATGGTTGAGAATACTAGTTGCCTTTCTGAGGGCCCAGGTTCAATCCCCACCACCAACATGGCAGCTCATAACTGTCTGTAATTCTGCTCCCTGGAGATCTGATGTACTCTTCTGGATTCCAGGAGCACAGTACACACATAATGCACAGACATGTATGCAAGCAACACATACACACACAATGTACATTTTAAAATGGTGCTCTGTTGAGAAACATTTATTAAAGAAACATTTTAAAGGGATGCAAAATATGGTAAGAGAAAGGGAAGCTGGGTGGTGGTGGCGCACGCCTTTAATCCCAGCACTCAGGGGGCAGAGGCAGGTGGATTTCTGTGAGTTCAAGGCCAGCCTGGTCTACAAAAGCTAGTTCCAGGACAGGCTCCAAAACCCTGTCTCGAAAAACCAAAAAAAAAAAAAAGAGAAAGAAAGAAAAGAAAAAGAAAAAGGGACATGGTTAATACTTACAGTACATATAAACCAAATACACAAAGCTTTGTCCCAGCATTCAGGAAAAAGAGGCAGGTGGACCTCTGTGAATTTGAAGGCAGCCTGGTCTACAGAGTAAATTCCAGGCCAGCCAGAGCTACACTGTAAGACCTGTCTCAAAAACAAAACAAAACAAAACAAAACAGTTAACAAAAACTGAATGTACATAAAAAAAAAATACAACTTACCCTAATACAGCTGAAACAACAAAGCTTGGAGCAATGAGGACACAGCCGAGCATCCCGCAATTTCTCCATACAAATGAAACATCGGAAAACCTCAGCAATGCTCTGAAAACAAAAGATACAGTGAGGTTCTCAGATTACACCAAATCAAGAGTAAAGAGCAAGATAAAAAACAAGGTCAGGCATAGTGGTGCACAACTTTAATCCCATCATTCAGGAGGCAGTGGCAGTAGGATCTCTGCCAGTCTGAGACTATACATAGTGAGTTCTAGGCATCCCTGGGCTACTCAGTGAGACCTTGTCTCAAGAAAAAGGAAAAGAGAGAGAAAGAAAACAATTGACCCAGCATTTACACTTGGGGCTGATAGTGTCCAGCCCTAGTATCTGGAAAACACGCACAAGCTTGACGATGACCCTAAGAAAACATATGGACTAAGAAAGTGGCTGAGTCAGTGAAGAGCCCGCCTTGGAAACAAAAGAATCTAGGATTCTCAGAATCCAGGAAGAATCCAGTATGGTGGCAGGTGTATGCCATCCCAGCTATGGCAAGACAGGAGACAGAGACAGGCAGATCCCCAGAAACTCATTGCCAGCTAGCCTGGCTAATTGGTGAAGTTCCAGGCCAGTGAGAGCCTGTCTCAAACAAAAGGTGGAATGTAATTACTAGTGGGTCTCCTCTGACCTCCATATGTGTATCATAAACACACACACACTTGCACCATGATGAACACACATGTGCACACACACACATGTATACACTCACACACACAATGAGGAAAACAAGAACTGCAAATACAAACTTTATGTAGAAATATCTTCCCTGGGGTACATTAAGTAAACTATGGCAGTTACACAGACAGCATGTAGAAACACATAGTAGCACAGAAGCTGTGTGTAGCAGTAAGAAGCAAAGGAAGATTGCATGACTAAATACACAATGAGAACTTACTAGTTCTGCAGCTTCACAAAAGAGATGAATGGCTTTCGTAATTACAAAGAGGGATTTGTTTTTAGGAGACAGCAGTCTACTACAGAGCTCTGGATGGCCTGAAAACTCCCTATACTCACCATCTTGGCCTAGAAATCAGAGATCTGCTTGCCTCTGCCTCCCAAGGGCGGGGATTAAAGGAATGCACCACCACATCCAAACAAGAGGAAAATTTCACAAAGATAAGCAGGAGCTGGCACGGTGGCTGAGCAGCAAAGATTGGACCAGCAAGCCCGAGGACCTGAATTCCATCCGAGGTGCCCCACACGGTAGGAGAACTGACAGCTCTTCTGACTGCCGCACGAACACATCAAGGAATGCCTATCTAGGCTCACTCAAAATAAATAAAAACATATTTGGAAAGATATTTAGGTTAGTGGCAAAGTTTTCTGGTCCAAAGAGAAACTAATTCAGAATCCGAATTTCTGTCCTGATGTAATCAACTAATTATGTGAGCCCGGGAATCTGCATCCACTAAAAATTTTAGTGTCACTTATGACATCTAGTGACCAATAAAAAAAAATTGTAAACAGGAAGGTTTTTAAAAGGTTGTAAACAGAAAAAAAAACCCACAATACCATTCTTCTTTGCAAGTTTCAGAGAACTCTATCTTGAAAGTAATTGACAAGTTAAAATTAAAAAACAAAGCTAAAAATACTGCTGCTGTATATTTCAAGTTTATTTTTGCAGAATGACGTTTGTTTTTACTCCATCCCAAAAGGATTAAACCCTCCTTAAAAAAAAAAAAAGCAAAGTTTACAAAACCTTTATATGACTTTCACAAAAGTAATTAATGATTCTAATCATTACTGCAAGCCTGAACCTGAGAGAAGGGAACTCTAAATTGCTCTGAGAAAACCATTGAGTGAACTGGGTTAATCTCAAGTGCAGTGCTCACTCAGTAAGTTACCTCTTACACCTCCCCCCCCCCCCCCCAACACGCACATCCCAGACAGGATTTCTCTGGGTTGTCCTGAAGCCCGGCTTGAACTGGACTGCCTCTACCTCCCGAAAGCTGGGATTAAAGGTGTGCGCCACCAATGCTCGGCCTTCTTACTTTTTAAAAGCCAAAATTACATTGTATTTTAGTGTATGAAAGGTTCAAATTTTAATTATCAATACATATCATAGTTGTATCCCCCTCAAAAAGCAATCTTTTTGATGCTTCTAGCTCTCATGGAAATAGCCCAACCTTGAAGTCATTTTACAGGAACCAATGCTGGAAACTAGTCTTTAAGACTAGTAGTGTATGAGAGAAGTGTGTGCATATCCTACAAAATGGACCGCTGAGGGTGAAAATGTTTAATCATTCCGAGCAAGTCGTGGCGCGAAAGCGGGGCAAGTCCTTCCGATGAATTTGCAATTTTGCTCTGGAAAGGCTCAACCTGCGAGCAGGGACGAGCAGACGGGCCAAGGCAGCGCTGCAAACTCTCAGCACCTGACTGCGGAACAGCTTCAGCACCTGGCAGCCTGAGGGCAGCAGAAAGCCTGGGGCCAGCCTCCCTCCCACAGGGAAGGCGAGAGCATGGCGCCCCGGATAGAAAAGGCTCCCCGATGGCGAGGAGCCCAACCGCCACGCACCGAAACGCCCCTCACCTCCACACTCTGCTCGTCCATTGCCTCCGGCGCTCGGCGGGGCCCTCGGCGACCCCCGGACTCCGTGGTCTGCGCTGTCAGCCGCCGGCCCGAGGTCGCCAGCTCAACTGCGCCCACCTCAGCAGGATTCCACATCAGTGCCACCTCCGTGCCCCATCCCGTCAGGTTCCCCGCCGGCTAACCCCCATTTCGCCATTTTTATCCGCGCGCCAGCCCTGGGGCGGAGACGGTGGGCTAGCGGTAGCCGCAGCGCTTTCCTATTGCCTCAGCCGCCGGCCGGCGTCCGCGTGGGAGCTTCGGCCCACGTGACGCCGGCGCGCGCGTGTGGAACGGCCGCGGGGCTGGGTCCGCGGCAAAACCGGCGCTGCAGGGAATTCGCAAACACCAACGGTAACCAGGGCAGCTAGAGGCGCGGCAGCCGGGAGAGCGC